GTCCGTCAATTTATCCAATTAGGATATAATTTATTGACTAACAACCTCGTAAAACGTCTCTAGGGGCTGTATGACCAAGCCGGATTGTTCGTTTCGATCATTCTGTATGAGTCATACAATTTTTGTGATTGGGACCAAACCAAACCTATTCACTCTTTCGAGCTTATCAGTGGAAAAGAACGCGCGCTCTTTGAGTCTGATGTGATCTCGTTGATCGCTTACCAATAACCGGAAATATCAAAATTTCACTGCTAGATTGAGATATATAGACACTTTAAATAGTGCGAACCATAACATCAAATAAGACAACCATAATCATACCAACGATAGATCTGCAGTAGTATTTGTCCTAATCACACATTACTCAAAGGTGAACATTAGATAACTAGGAAAATATAATTGCAACATTTAGCATTGGGAGAAGGCCAAAATGGTGAACGCAGGAACGTTCATTCAATCAGATAGCGCGACTCTGCCCTAAAGGCGTGGTCACTCCTGTGCAACTTACATCTTTTATTCATTTTGAATGTGTTCTTCAGAGGCGATATACATTATATTGAAGGCTCTTATGACAGGACGAGTCACAATAGAGGATGGTGTGACTTTTACGTAAGATCTTTTAGATTAGGTTTTCACATTATGAAAAATCTGTAGTTTTGGGATTAGGTCTATTATTATAGTAGTATTAAAACCGAAGCAGACCATAATTCTACAGGTCTACCTGTCTCGACCAACTTTTTGATTCATAGTTCCTTCAACTGCAACAAGCACACATCCGTTTAATTGTAGATACAGGATATGTGCATGTGGTGGACCAAACAATATATAAACGCAAAAGTATAAACAAAGTTACTAACAATCAATAGTAATATTAATATTTACAAGTTAAATGTTACAAATACAATAACAAATTAGGGACGTTACTTAAATCGGCTAGTCGTTGCGTGTTCTGTTGAGTCTTGGTCTCAAAATTCCACAATTATAAATGCGTAATAATTCCACAGAGGTAAATATGACGCCAATAAGTTTCTTTGACATAGGATATAATGGAAATGACACAGCAGTCTGAAATGAGGATAATATCCAGTTTAGAACGCAATTGACTTGGTAACGAACGACAATAGAACAATGGGTATGTGCGTAGTAGTGTATTTGTGAACAACCGAAAATGTGTGTCACGCTATGTTAGTTACACAACGGAAAAAGTCTTCAAGGTCATTTACTTAAACAACAGGTACAATCATTTAATGATAAATGTACATTCAGTGAGAAATGGACAAATACAAATAATATTAAAAACTATTTACAAAATAAGCTTGTCAGATATATCTCCACATAGCTCCCCCCAGAGTGTCCGGAGGTAACACTGGTTTTAATAAAAAAAAATGTAAGAACATGATATATGTGTATATACGAAAATAATATTTACCGTTATAACCAACAAAAGTTGTAGAGATGGATATGACATTAATAAGATGGAGTGTGTTGTTGTTTGAGAATAGCAATAATGTAGCATAGCATAACGAATACAAAAAAAAGAGGAAATACTGTCATTTAATGTCTTGTTTGGCTAACAAGGATAATGTGTAAAACTGTTAATAACCCACACACACAAAAAAAAACTGAACCGTTTATTTTTGTGTATAATGAATAAATAATTAAAAAGAGTTTACCCGTTTATTATTGTTACAATTTTTTTTTTAAAAAAATGTGACAAAACGAATAATTGTGGGAAAAAAAAGTGATTAATTATGAACACTGTGAAAAGAAAAAAATTTTTTTAGATGAGATTAATAGTGTAGGTCCTTGATAATTGTTTGCTTTGATTGTTTTATTTGTGTGTTTTTTTTATATGGCAAAATGTACATAACGCTTTGGTTTTTTTATAAGTCTCCCAGATCGTGTTAAACAAGAGGGTGTAGTGCTAAGTTTTTTCTCTTCCTCTTGTTTCTTAGCAATTGATGGGAGTGATTGTTTGTTCGCAGCATTGTCTTCTGTGGCTTGAGGGACTTCGTAGAAAGCTGGTTTTATTCGGTCAATGGAAATTGTCTCCTTGTTCCCATTTTTATTGATAATGAAATATTTGTGGGTGCGTTTTATTACTTTATAAGGGCCTTCGTACGGTGGAGTCAGTGGCTTTTTTACCGCGTCTACTCGAACAAAAACAAATTTGCACGTTTCTAAATGTTTATCGAGATGGACTCGGTTGTTGTATTCTCGAGGTGGTATTGCTCTAATGTTCTGCATCATTTGTAATAGGCGGCTTACGAAGTGAGTAGAATCCCCGTGCATTGTAGGTTCATAGTTGACTATTTGGCCGGGTAACGTTAGAGTTGTACCATAGACTAACTCAGCGGCTGTACATCCAATGTCTTCCTTTATGGTTGAACGAATACCGAGGAGTACAAGCGGTAAGGCATCGCTCCACTTTGATGAGTCAGCTTGCGCCATCAGTGAGCTTTTTAATTGGCGATGGAATCTTTCAACCATGCCATTAGCTGCTGGGTGGTAAGCTGTGGTTTTAATATGGTTGACCCCTAGAAGTTTAGTGAACTCCTGGAAAAGGACAGATTGAAATTGAGGACCACGATCTGTTGTGATTATTGATGGTACTCCATAGTTAGTTATCCAGCGGTCAAGGAAGACTGAAGCGACTGTTTCTGCTGATGTGTCTTTAATGGGGCATGCTATGGCCCATCTTGTGAACCTATCTATTGCGGTGAGGATATGTGTGAAAGAGTTTGATGGTGGCAGAGGCCCAACTAAATCTAAATGCACGTGCTGGAAGCGTTTGTCAGGGATAGGGAACTTCCCAATTGGACTGTAAGTGTGTTTTTGCGTCTTACTGCGTTGGCACTGGAGACAGTTACGTGTCCAACGTTTAACATCCGAGTTGATTTTAGGCCACACAAAACGTTCGGTAATGAGCTTTGTTGTTGCTCTGATGCCTGGATGTGAAAGACCATGTAAATGCTGAAATATTTTTCGTCGGCAAGCGTGTGGGACAAACGGACGATTGTTGCCTGTTGAAGTGTCGCATATGATAAATGTATCTGAAAGAGGAATCGGTACAGGTTTGAGATCTAAGCTAGACTTTTCTTTGCAGGCTTTCAATTCTGCATCGTCTGCTTGTAATTTAGCTAAGGTTTCAAGGCTGATGTCATGATTGAGTACCATCGTATTGATATCCCTCCTAGATAGTGCATCTGCAACAATGTTCATGTGACCTTTGATGAACCTGATGTCTGTGGTAAATTGGGAGATATAATCAAGTTGTCTTGCTTCTCGTGGGGAGTGTTTGTCATACGATGTGCTAAAAGAATGGCAAAGAGGTTTGTGATCTGTCATAATGATGAAATCACGACCCTGTAGCAAAAAGTTGAAATGTTTTACTGCTAAATACATAGCTAAGAGTTCGCGTCCAAAAGTACTATAACGTTCTTGTGCTGGCGATAATCTCTTGGAGAAAAAGGCAATGGGGGTAATAGTGTTGTTTACCCGCTGTTGTAATACTGCCCCGACGGCTTTTTGTGAAGCATCCGTGCATAGGATCAATAGTGTTGTGGGGTCAGTATTTAGGTGTTGGAGCATGGTAGCATTAGCAATCATGGATTTAGCTTTTTCAAATGCTATTTTGGCGTCGGAAGGTAACTTGAATATTTGGTTCTTTTCTTTCTTGGTACCTGATTTATCGTTTTTCAGTAAATCTGTCAATGGCTGTAGTACATCGGCACAATTTGGTAGAAATCGTCGATAAAAATTACATGTTCCGAGAAAACGACGTAGTGATTTTACTGAGGTTGGTTCTGGATAGCTGGAGATAGCTTTGACTTTCTCTTCAAGCGGTTTAATTCCTTGGGAATCAATGTGGTGTCCCAGGAATTCCAGAGATGAGGCGCCAAATATACACTTCGAAGGGTTGATTACAACACCATAACTTTTGAAACGTTCAAAAAGTGTGTGTAGGTGCTGAACATGTTCGTCAATGGAAGAACTAGCGATTAAAACATCGTCGATATAGACAAATACGAAATCCAAACCTCTAGTTACTTCGTCCATAAATCTCTGGAAGGTTTGAGCGGCGTTTTTTAGTCCGAAAGGCATCCTCAAGAACTCAAACAAGCCAAAAGGTGTGATTACGGCTGTTTTCTCGATATCCTCAGGTGCCATCGGTATTTGATGGTATGCTCGGACTAGATCTAACTTTGAAAAAATCTGTTTTCCATGTAGATTTAAAGAAAAATCATGCAGGTGAGGTATCGGATACCGGTCTGGGATAGTCTGGTTATTCAAACGGCGATAATCTCCACATGGGCGCCAGTCTTGATCTTTCTTGGGAACCATATGCAGCGGCGAGGCCCAAGGGCTGTTAGATTGTCTGATTATCCCAAGTTGCATCATATGTTCGAATTCTCTCTTAGCGAACTGCAACTTGTTTGGAGGGAGTCGTCTCGCCCTGGCGCGGATAGGTGGTCCTGTAGTAGTAATACTGTGTTGGACATGATGTGTGGAGCATTCGTTTTGGTAATCAGCTCTGGTTATACTTTCATACTTCGACAGGATATCGGTGAAAATTTTGTTTTCAGGTCTTAACATACGGACTCCATGAATTTCGTAACTGGAGATAGTTGTGCCACTGACCTGTAAGCTTGTGTTTTTGTCGATTAGTTTCTTTTTTGCCATATCTACAAGTAGGTTGTAAGCACCGAGAAAATCGGCCCCGATAATGGGTTGTTTGATTTCAGCTACGATGAAAACCCATGTGAAACGTCTCCGGAGACCGAGATCTAAAATAAGTGATTGTTCGCCATAAGTCTTAATGACTGTGTTATTGGCTGCGACTAGAGACAATTTAGTACTCTGAGGGTGCCGTCGTTGAGAGAGGTGTAATGGGATAATGCTGATTTCGGCTCCCGTATCGACCAAAAAATCTGAGCCCGAAATTCGATCCCTGACATGAAATAGACGGCTCGGGTAGTGGCCAGAAACAGGCGCCGCCATCACTGTCTGGCCGGTCCGTTTCCCTGATTCTCTGTGTCAGACGCAGAAAATGTGCACGGTCGTGTACAACGCCGTGCTTTGGTGCCGTATTTTTGGTGGTACCAACAAACATCAGATGTTCGCTTCGGTGACCTAGACCGTTGTCTAGAAAAAGATCTTCGTCTGGAGGGGGATCTCGATTGTCTAGCTTGGATGGTTGCTATGGTTGATTGCAGAGACGCTAGCTGGCTCGTTAAATGCGTTAACTGCTTTTGAAAGGAGACTAAACAGCTAATATCTAGTGGTCCAGGTGGTTGCAATGAGTTCACACCGTGACTATCATGGTAGACTTCCATCATTTTATCCGCCATGTCGGCTAAGTCATCGAGTGCGACGGATTTCCCTGAAACACTGAGAATTTGTCTAACGCTGTGTGGTAATCTTTGAAACCACATTTGCTTTAGGAGGGCTTCGTCTAGCTTGTATGGACCGGCGAGTTGTTTCATGTGACGGAGAAGCTGAGAGGGTCTTTTATCTCCCAAGTCACAAGACGTTAGCAATTGTTGCAGCCTTTTCTCATCTGAGACCGTGGTGCGTTGAATAACTGCTGCTTTTATCTTATCGTATGGTTCAGATTCTGGCACGTGATCGATTAAATCTCCAACTTCAGCGGCAATCTCAACAGGAAGTGTACCGACTACGTATGCATACTTTGATGCCTGAGATTTTATGCCTCTAGCCATGAATAAAGCTTCAATCTGAGCAAACCAGATTCTTGGATTATTAATACAATACGTTGGTAATCTTAACTCTGAGATAGCGTTGATCGAGTTGAAAGCATTATCCTCTGGTTGTGGAGAGTTTAGAAAGTTGGTCGGTGAACTTTCAATATCAATAAGTTTACCCGGAGAGTTCATAATGACAAAAACAAAAAAAATGGTGTCGTGCCAAGTAATAATAATAATAATAAAATATGCAGATATATAAGGTAAATGTCTATATAAAAAAAACGAGGCTCACCAAATAATTGTGGTGGACCAAACAATATATAAACGCAAAAGTATAAACAAAGTTACTAACAATCAATAGTAATATTAATATTTACAAGTTAAATGTTACAAATACAATAACAAATTAGGGACGTTACTTAAATCGGCTAGTCGTTGCGTGTTCTGTTGAGTCTTGGTCTCAAAATTCCACAATTATAAATGCGTAATAATTCCACAGAGGTAAATATGACGCCAATAAGTTTCTTTGACATAGGATATAATGGAAATGACACAGCAGTCTGAAATGAGGATAATATCCAGTTTAGAACGCAATTGACTTGGTAACGAACGACAATAGAACAATGGGTATGTGCGTAGTAGTGTATTTGTGAACAACCGAAAATGTGTGTCACGCTATGTTAGTTACACAACGGAAAAAGTCTTCAAGGTCATTTACTTAAACAACAGGTACAATCATTTAATGATAAATGTACATTCAGTGAGAAATGGACAAATACAAATAATATTAAAAACTATTTACAAAATAAGCTTGTCAGATATATCTCCACATGCAAAAGTTATTCGATCGATGTTAAGTTATCGGTTAGAAAGGTAGGAGAAAACGTTTCAATTTCAGGTTTCTTTCGGGTTCTATTCTTGTGTAACATGGATTCACTTACTTACGCTATTTTTCTCCTCGAATTATACCACATTTTACTTTGAGCATGTTGAGTAGAATGTGAAGTAATAACGTTACCACCAATAACTACATCACAACTACAAGAACAGCTAGCAGAGGTTGAACTCTTATTTCAGTGGTTAGTAAGTAGCCGAAAATCTTCACTTTTAGCAGCAAGATTATAAGAAGGCCCAAAGGCATACCGTATGAAGAGCCTCAGAGTAATTTGTACAACATGGACTACTCGACCTAAACACCGAAACAGGTTCTTAACTAAGTAATAATGATCAAATTACTAAATAGCTTCCTACTCCCAGGAAAATCAAGAGGCAAAACAGAAGTTGGATAAAATGGCGTCATAAACTGCTCGGAGTGCAGCCTACTGAGGAGAAACAACACAAAAACGATAGCTGTATCACTTGCTCGTCGCTCGTTAAAACCAGGGGCTCACATTTATATGTAATTTTTGAAATGGCTAAGCTCACTGTTGCTGTGATATTGTAGTACCTGAGCAATAGTACAAGTTCATGTTGAGCAGTCCAAGTCTGCGGTTTTCGTATTGTAGCGGTAAATAAATCCCCAAAATCAATAGCTCTGTAAGTCTTCGACATTGTATGCTGACCATATTAGTTTTCATGAACTCACCTAGCTGAAGGCGCTCGGTCATGCATCCGCACCACATCACGAATGGAAACGCCGTGCTCGACATCCCCTACAATCGCTAGTCAGATTAGATCAATCGATCCTCGATATATTGATAGCCTATCAAATATATCTTCGAACCTCATCGCTTCTGACTTTTGTTTTCACTTGGTGGGTACGATTGATAATGGGTATTCATGGGAAAAGAGTTTTCAAACTCCAAATACTTGTGGCATCTTTTGTACATTTGCGCACAATGTAGAAAAAGCACCCACCGAACTAACATAAAGAATCCTAAATCCTTGTGGGGATCGAATTTGACACTCCCCATCAGTATATCTATGAGAGTCACTATCCGAGCTCACGCAACAGTGGCCAAGGGGAATTGCTAAGAGATGGCTCTCAAAACTCCAAAAATTGGTGGCAAAGATGTTAGTTAAACCTTCCTGATTTTGTTTGGTGTTCTAATGTTGGAGAGTAGCTTATTAGAAAGTTGGTCAGCCTATGATAAGGAACAGTGGAACAAATACTGAATGATGCTGAACAAGAGCACCACTTCAGCTAAACTGGCCAATCCGCTTCAAGCGGAAAGCTGTTTAAAAGCCGGAAGACGGATTCTGCTATACGGGGAAGCTAGATGATGAAATTATTCATCAGTGGCTCTATAATAACGTTAGAGCACTTAGGGGTGAACTAAGGAAATCAGAGACACATTATTTCATTTGGGTTAAGAGATCCTAGTTTTGACTGAATCATGGCTATCTCGCAACATCACGGATGAAGAAGTGAGTTAACAAGGTCTTACTTTTTTAATATGATGGGATCCACAAATCAATTAGTATAGTCCCGCTACGCATTACCAGTTTCTTCTCAGCTGTAACAACAAGCATCAACGAAATCCAAGCTAACCAAAAAATATCCCTACAGATTCATAGCTAAAAGAAGCCCACGTGCCATGAGGTTCTGTGCTTTCGAAGGGCCAATTGGTGATCTTAATAAATCGGTGATACTGGAAATCTCTTTTGCCAATCTCATAGATCACTTAAACCTGGGACTTGCAAGCACAGAACACCTCCCAACTATAGTACCAGTTGGGTGTCTGGAAGCTATTCAGTAATTCCTATATTTTAGTTCTCCGGAATGATTGCACTCAGGGTAGTCACCAGGATGCTACAATCTTCAACCTTCAAGAGAATGGAAGCAGGTACTTTAGAAGGGAGGATTGTAAAGACCCAGAATGTTACAGACCGGTCTTGTTCTTCCAATACTGTCGAAGATAAAGGAAAGACTAATTAATGAACATATAAGAGAATGCATGAATAGCGACAGCATCCCCCATGAAGCCAAACACGTGTTCAGGAAAAGCAAGTTCGGTGCGTTCAACCTCCTTACAGTATGGGAAATCCGGATGGGATCTCACTGGAAACGCCTAGAAGCCGCAGTTGCAAAGCTCGATCGGTTTCAAGTGGTAAACATAACCTGACCTGTCAGGTCGTCGACAACCCTCCAGAACCTAACACTAGGTTTGATGCAACTGTTGTTTCTTCTCCCAGCACCGTTGACGAGTGGGTACAGGTTGTAAGGAAGAAAAAAAGTAGCGATATAAAAGGTAATCCTACTCCCGCGAAAGTAGTCGCAAAGTCGAAAGCTGAGCATAGCGACAGATCAGCTACTTTTCACGGAATCAAGGAGAGCGAGAGCTCTGAACCTAAAGCTGGTTTTGAGCATGACATTGTGCTGATTAAGCAGCTGCTTAGTCAACTCATGCCTCAAAATATCACCGAGTTCACTTTGCTAAAGGTGTACAGACTAGGGAGTCTAGCGGACTCTAAACCAAATCATTCCAGACTGCTTAAAGTAGTATTCAACTCTTTGAACGAACGTGACCTAATTTTACACAATGGACACAAATTAAAGGGTTTAGGAGTCTTTATACGAAAGGACTTACCGTTGACAGACCGTGTACAAAGACGGGAAGCCGAAAAAGAACTACAACTTAGGTTAGACGGTGACGAAAAGAACCTAAAAATTGTAAATTTTCGGGTTGTAGGGCTTCGACAGAGAATGATGCCGAAGCCACTTAAATAGGCTTCGGATCTGCTACACTAATGCCCGGAGCTTACTTAATAAGCGATCGGAACCAGGTGTACAGATTGACTCTACAAAGCCAGACGTAATCACAGTTACAGAAACCTGGCTGACACAGGCTATAGATGGTATGGAACTTGATTTCAAGGGTTTTACGTTAGTAAGGGCCGACAGAATACAAAAGCGTAAAGGAGGGGGAGTAGCTCTATTCACCAGGAATGCTATCCCATTTGCCATTATCGACAGTGTATCCCATGAGAGTGGGACGTGTGAATTAGTCAGTCTCCGCTTGAAATGCAAGGGACAAGAGCTGCTGATTGGTTTGGTCTATCGCAGTCCAAGCTGTGAGGCAAATGAGATCCTGTTAAGCAGTCTCAATACTTGGTCCCAAAGTGGTCGATGTCTAATCCTAGGGGACTTTAATGCACCTATGGTAGACTGGGAGAATCTGCGAACTGAATCGTCAGAAAATTCCTTCGAGCAGGAACTAGTTGATGCGGCTATCACATGTGCTCTAGTGCAACATGTGAAAGAAGCGGCTAGGTACGACTCGGACACTGAATCATCCTTACTAGATCTTATATTGACTCACTATGAGGATGGCGTTGCGAACCTCCATTACATGCCACCCCTATGTAAAAGTGATCACGCAGTTTTAATTTTCGACTTCCATGTAACTGTCAGTCACGAGCACGGGTCAGCCCAATCCAGACCTAACTTCTGGAAGGCAAATATACCAGATATCATGCACTCAGCATCGTCAGTAGATTGGACAATAGACCCAGAGTCCTCAGTCGAAACTGCTTGGGACGCATTTCGAAATTCATACTTAAAAGTTACCACACCCTACATCCCTTGGACTATACCAAGGGGGCCGAAAAACTCTCCACCATGGTTCAGTAGGGAGGTCCGCATCCTTCTCCGTAAGAGAAGAAAAATGTGGGATAGATTTAGGTTACTGGGGACTGATGAAACTAAATCCCAGTATAGAAAAGTCCGGAATACTAGTGCCTCGACCCTCCGTAAGTTGTACGAAGAAAAGATTGTTAAGGAATCCATAGAATGTCCTAAACGCTTGTATTCTTATATAAATCAAAGGACAAAGAGAATAGGAAATATTCCTGCTCTATGAGGATACAGTACTGGCGCATCACTAGTGGAGGGCGACTTTGCTAAGGCTCAATCGTTCTCAAACTATTTTAGCAATGTATACACCATAGAAAAACCCTTCCCATCAGCGCATACAGATCCCTCCACACATACACTGGATATCGTGACCATTAAAGAACTCGATGTCTTTGGTCTACTAAATAAGCTTGACATTGGTAAATCCACGGGGCCCGATGAATTACATCCTAGGCTACTGAAGGAATTATCTAACTTCGTTGCAAGCCCTTTAAGTATATGCTTTAACCTATCCGTAACGCAGGTCGTTTACCAAAAGATTGAAAAAACGCCATAGTAAGTCCTGTCTTCAAAACAGATACGAAACACAAACCTGAGAATTGCCGCCCTGTTAGCCTAACTAGTGTGGTTGTTAAAATCTTAGAAAAGATTATTCGGAAGGAGCTGTTTAAGTATCTCGATAAAAACCGGATCTTTTCAGAGAAGCAGCACGGTTTCAGAATAGGTTACTCTTGTTTCACTAACTTATTAGTGGCTCGTGAAAGCTGGTGTGCTCTTAAGGACCAAAAGTTACCTGTAGACGTAGCCTTCGTTGATTTCAGCAAAGCTTTTGACAAGGTTCCGCACAACCGGGTGTTATATAAGTTAAGAAAATTCGGGATTGGAGGTAATTTATTGATGTGGATAAAAGACTTCTTAGTTGGGCGTCAACAAAGAGTTCGGGTGAACTCAAAGTTATCTAGCTGGGAAACTGTGCTTAGTGGAGTGCCCCAGGGTACAGTTTTGGGACCAGTGCTATTCCTCTTGTATGTAAATGACCTTCCTCGTCTCCTATCATCATCGGTCTTGCTATATGCTGACGATGTCAAGATATGGAGAACGATACGATGTGAGGGTGATAGCTTAGAACTTCAAAATGACCTGAAGAAATTATCTGAATGGTCTCAAACATGGCAGTTGCCGATATATACTTCCAAGTGTGTTGTGATGCATATCGGTCATCAAGGCACAGATACATACACGATGAATAACTCTGAGCTACCTGTCGTCCAGACATATAATGACTTAGGAGTTACGTTAGCCAAGACTTAAAGACTACTGCACACTGCCGTGCAATAGCCGCCAAAGGTTTTAGAACCTTATGGTCAATACGTAGAGCTTTTAGTCATGTCGACGCTAAAACGTTTTTGACTTTGTGTACAGTATTCGTACGTCCTAAACTTGAGTACTGCATACAAGTGGCCAGCCCCTGCTTAAAAAAAGACAGTGAGCTTCTGGAAAAGGTTCAGAGAACGGCAACTATGCTGATTTCCGGAATAGCGAAGCTTCCGTATGAAGCTCGACTGGCCAAGCTGAACCTTTTCCCGTTGTCATATCGAAGAACTAGAGGCGACTTGATTACAGTTTTCAAATTGCTTAGTGCCAAATTTGCACCTGATATGCCCTCATTTTTCTTGTCTTTCAAAACAGAGAATTAACGAGGACACTCCAAAAAAGTTCACAAGCCAAGAACAAATTACTTGTCAGCTGACTATCGACTTTCCCATCGAATCATCAACGAGTGAAACTCATTACCTCAGCACGTGGCTGAGGCTCCATCCGTCGATTCTTTCAAAAGAAAGTTGGACCAACTGAGGGACCACCATTGCCAGGACTAACACAAGCTATCAGGCCTCCTGTCCTTCCCAAACTGAAACTGGAACAAGTTCACAAATAACGGCCAAACTGACTAGAAGTAGTGCAGTCGAGTGATAGTCCACCACTCCTCGGATATAACTAAATACTTGAAACCATACTAAAGCAAACAGAAGTGAGCGCAAAGAAATCAATCGACTTATAGAACCTCGTGACTGAGATATTGGATATCTGTAGACTTACCTACTTTTGAATTTTGCGTTACTATGGTTGGTTTCTGTACTAATAGACTTGATACGTCCGCATTATTTCCTTATTCTGTTTCACAGATTTAGTAGATCCAGCAATATGTACCAAAAATATTTTCGACTCAAGCATTTTTATTACTGGTATCAATTCATCGTCAAATTAGCTTAAGGAGCATGTTAATTTGGTTTACTTTCAAACCTTTCTATGTTGCGCAGGAATATAATTCCGTTATTGATCAATAACATCCAAAAATTCGTCTGTAGTCCTCCACTATTTTTTTCAAAGCAGGCCTTTTTCCGTGTAAATTAACTACTTGGCGGTTTTTTGGGATAGTTTCATGTGTTTCGTTCATCACCCAAGCTACCAGCTTTGGGGAAATTTTGGGGAAATCCCCAAAGTGAAATAGCCTTCCCCAAAGTTGGGAGCCTGGGCATTTTCAAAGATACCAGGCTCACAACAAAAAGCTAAATTCATTGGAACTTTGCATTTGTATCGTCAGGTGATGTTTCATAAATGTCATGTGTTCACTTACTAGTGACTTCAGAATATCAGTTATTCTCTTGTTAGTTTCCGTATAGTTTCTCATATTAGCCATCTTGTCATCCGCTATTCGACTATCTGAATTCCTAATATTCTCATTGCTTGTCGTCCTCATTAATCGCTAAGACTATCCCAACTATTCATTATCTCTACGACTATTTATAGTAGTAAACTATATTGTCTTCTAAGCCAATAAATTTGTAAAAGGTATCAATAACTATGGTGGCTTTTGTGCATTACGTGGAGTAATAATCTTAAACTTGTTCCCATAATATATTTCTGTAACATTGTAAACTGGATAATCATACTACCACAGGGTAGCTACAGCTGATCCAGTTATATTTATCACCACTGTGTTTTAAGGCTTTAAAGATCATCATTATGATCCAGAAGCACTTACGTGTTTATGAAATTCTAACTTAACTATTCGCTTGTTGGCGAGGTTTACATTGCGTATAGTTGACGTGGGTCTTCTTGATATGTTCTGTTGTTTGTTTTAGTTTTTTCTACCGTAAGTTCGACATAACCAGTGGGTAATGTAAAGTTATCAGAAATCAACAATGTTACGAAAAAACAGATTATGTAAAAGCACTTTCATTTATTGTAATCGCGCTTTGTTGCTATGAGTAATACCCAACGCACTTGTGATTAAAATAATATTCTAGATCCTACTAAGGAAGTCTGATAAACATCTCTATCAAGTCTTGATTATTAGTCATATATCCCTTTATAAGATCACAATATCTCATGATCCAGGTATGGGTTAAAGTAGATCGTATAGTTTCATCTGAATTCAATTTCAAGCAAAAAGATGAAGAAATGTAAAGGTTCCGAAACAACGAACATTGACACTATCCATTAGTAATAAACCAAATCCATGTAGAAATAAAACAAAGTGTAAGGATATACATGCTCTTGTTATGTAGTTTGAGCTATAACTTAAGGTTGTTGATACTGCCAGTTGCTTAAACATGTATGGAGTGATGTTCGGCTTAACACTGACCACTAAACCATTGCTGTTACTGAGTAATATAGCTGCACTTTCGTGGATTTCTTCCAACAGTCTTAAGAAGTCATGCACAATAAAGTTCCAGCTATTATCGATTTTAAAAGGATTTAAGCTAACGTATTTCGATTTTTATGGCATTAGTCGTTAATCATTCCTGTTTATACGTTGAATCAATCACCAGAAATAAATCAATTTGAACTGGGCATTTAAAGCAGCCTGGTAGAGCGAAATAGATATTTGGCCTCTGTGCTAATATATCTTCACTGTAATAGTGTGAGGCGTAGGAGCTTTAGTCGGTACATGTTTATGTTAGGTCTTGTGTTGTTTGTTTCCCCTTGATGCCCTAATTGTCAATTTGTCTATTTATTAGCTGCAGTTATTGAGTTATTTCATTCCATAAATCATTCTCTCAAAGTACTTTATTACCCACAAATATAATTCCCCGGACTTTCAGGAACATATTGGTGAACATTCAACTAGCATTTATCATGATACTGTCTCTATCGGTGGTGGTTCATCATTTCCGCAGTTCCCTTCCCAAACAAGGGGATGGTCAGATGCGACCGATCCAAATTCCGAGTCACTAGCCGTTGAAATTTCTGGAGCAATGAGTGATAAAGACCGTGTTCTATTCAAGATTCATACAAAGGTGATTATATTTTTATAAATAATGTATTTATTGAATATATATCAGTTGTACTGTCAGGATTTGCATAAATTTATTTATAGCAGTATATCTTATACCGTTGCATAATGCAATCTACATAACTAAGATTTTATCATTTTCTGCTCATTTCACAGTAGATTGACACCTGTTTATTTTATATGTAAATAAAATCATCCTGTATTTGCAATGTTAACTGTAACTAGGTCTCATTGGACAACATTCTTGTTACAGTCAATATTTTTGGTGATGGTTTATTCACCAGGTACTTGTGTATGGATCACACTCAAAATGCGGGGGCTGGTGGTACTAACCGGTTGCTCAAACCGTAGTAGGTCGGGCTGCGTTCGAACTTGGGACTTGCTGTTTGGACGTCGGACGTTATAAGTAATCTGATGTCTATAAGCCCATATATAATCGAACTAGCGAGTTGTGCCTTGGAATGATCACTAATGTTTTTATAATGTATCAAAGTTCTGTTTCAGTTTAAATTTTTAAGAACGGAAAGAAAAGTATTGAAAGATTTATTCTTAGTCGACTAACAATTTTACTGACTTCTGCTTTATTTTTAAATTTTAGACTACATTGCCTGATTTTAAACAAAATGAATGTGATGTACAACGAATGCATGAAGAATTCGTCTGGCTTCATGATCGTTTAGTTGAAAATGATGCATATGCAGGTTTAATTGTAAGTTAATTTTTGCATTAGCCAGGCTTATCCCATTAGGATTTTTCAAATATTTTAAGTGAATGGTGGAAATATACACTGGTTTATTTTTTGTGGTCAATAAAAATTTAAACAGTTGTATGTCCAAGTAGTACTAGAGCTGATGATTTAAGTCCAACTGCAGCACCATAAAAAGAGCAGCACTTTCTACTCCAAACCACCTACGATATTGTCATGTAATTTATTTGATTTTAAAGGATTACAGCTGTGATACTTTTAAAATCTTTAGTATCCCACTAACCTATCTTCGTCTCATTGAGATTGTACAGTAAATTTAGCGTAAGCAGTGTTGATGCATTTTGTGGGCTTCTCTGTTCATCGCATCGCATATCGAACCTTTGTCTCTTAGGTACTTGTAACTTTTGATATTCTAGCACCTCAGTGGACATTACTGTCGGATTCTGGTATTGATAAAAAAATGGAAAGAAACAAACAATATGTAACACGATCATCTAATAAGTAACAGCTACATTAATTTAACCCCTTTTTGTATGGCTACACTTTCTAGTTAAAATATTACTAGTAATAATATGTGGGAATTCTCCCACTTTGATGAAATTAGTAGTGATTAAAAATTAATAACAAGTATTTAAAGTTTGTACTATTAACTGTGTTATCAGCATACATTCCTGGGGAAATTAGTTAATATGAGATTGTGAATCATAGTTCGATACCAAAGCAAAAAATAGGCTTTTAATTAGATGCTTTAATAAATACTTAATCTGGAAGGTACCTGAAGGACTCTGATATCAACCTTCTCATCAACCAAGTAGCTTAGTAGCTATACTTTAATCTAAGCTACCTTTGTTATCTACGTTAATAATGCATTTTGAATTCCCAAACTTATAGGCCTTGCAATAGAACCTATCTGACAATTTTCAATTAAATTACCCAAACCATCTTGTTTATGGCTGTTATCAGACAGATTATGTTATCTTTTTCATGTATATCTCCATAGGAGCATATATTTTAAACAAACATATTGGAAGTAACTGATTTTCCAACCCTTCTAATGGTGGTTTTCATGCTGAATTTCTATTATTGTTAACATATGTCAGTGTTTAGGCTTGCTATTATTTTAGGGAAGTTGTCAATTAAACACTCAGTGATTATCAACCAACTGCTGTCCTTATTACTTATTTTGGTTAGTGTTTTCATTAGCAAGGTTGCTTTTCACGGGATGGGGTTATTGACCTCCTACCCAACCCTCCTCCTTTACCTGGGCTTGGTGCCGGTAGTAAGCCTAGAAGAGCTACAGACGTAGTTTATTTCCTGTTTAGCCCTATGGTAATATATATCTGTGCTTTTATATCAATCCTTTGAATATTTTTTTTGGCAGATTCACCAAATAAAATCGGTTTTACCCCACAATCTGTTACTAACTTATGATAATGTCCTCTAAATATTATGTAATCCTTTACTGTAAGCTGAAGTGAGTTTTTAAGAGAAACCATGCTAAAGCGTTGTCAAGATTTCCCATCTGTGTTAATCTGCCTTTAGCTATGAATTAGACTTCTTAAAGATTTATTTATTATTATTTATTTTAACACATAGATATTGGTACAAGGAGGCACCAAATACATATGCGCCATACAAATCTCATTCGATATGTGAGGGCTGTGATACTGCCTGGGTGCCCAAACCGAAGCAGATGGTTTTCTTAGGGGGTCACACCCCGAGCCTTCGACCTGGAGGTCTGATCCACAAGGCAGTGGAGCATCGTAAGGACATGCATTCCCATAGAAGCCGGTGACCAACAATTGGTTCATACGCCATTTGTTCCCTCAGGATACTGGAGCCCATGTGCACCATTGTTTTGGAATCCGGTTAAAGCGCCGGACATTCACTTTTCGTCCTCTCAATTTCGTAAGTAACACCCCCGCCACGAGAAGGCAGTGAGTAGGACTTCCTTGGCAGAGGCTATATACGCTTGGGCATGTGAGAGCATTAGGAGAGGGAGAGCGGACTCTCCTCACGCTCGGTCGAACCAGGGCATTTGGGGGCATTTCTTAAAGAACTGTGTTTTTATGAATGAGTAGTGGAAATTTCCATCCTATGATTGAAATAAATAGATTTAATTTTACTTCTCTTAAATATTCCAGATTACTGTTATTTATGTAGTTTGATATTTGAAACTGATACACCATGGACAACAGCAAGATTGTATCATACAAAATTGTATAACAACATCATAAAAATAATAAAACCAAGAAGCATATAACAAATGAAAATAATTTGATAGACAATTGCAGTTATATTAGATACTATTATAAAGGTGCAAATATTGAGGACATTGATGCTGTTAGGATTATCTTAAAGATTATTTCTGTCCATATTTTGTCATATTAAATAAAACGGCTGTTATTTTTGTATAAACCCCTTATTATAAACTTGTTAGTTGTATCAACTTATTGTCCCTTAATTATTGTTCTATCACTCATGGCGTGATTGTATATAAAGAATTAGTGGTCTGACAATTCTTGTACATGTATTAGTGAGTGTTTGAGATACATAGATATACCGGATGTGTGAAAGTAGAACAGTAGAAACATGATTACTGTGTTCTATTATCGAACTCAAGATTTGGGGACAGAAGAAGGTTTGCATATCGGTGAACCGATCAAGGTCACGATTATCTCATCAGCTCTCAGCGTTACTAGTGTTGGGCTAGGTGTTTCATAGATCAAGTGAAGTAATTATTCGATAAACGGATTGACATACTTGTGCTCGAGAACAAAAAATCAGGAGTTTGTTTGGTACGTTTGTTTCCCGGGCTATCAATTAAGAAATTGTAGTTTAGTGAACGTCGTAACAGTTATATTCCAAACAGTACTCTTAGCTTTGATCTCCCTGAAGCAGTGCTCAATTATTGAAAAAACAAGAGATCTACAATACTGTCTCCACTGGTATCTGGTCTGAATTTTATTTGATTGTGTCTCACAAAACTTACTATGATATCATGATATTTCGTTATACGCGACAGTTCAAGGCTTGTTTTTATGAACAGGTTTTGATTTTTAAATTGATCTGTAGAGTGTGTTGATCGGTAGATAGTGATAAGCAATCCTGGTATATAGTCGACCAATATTATGTGCTCACGAGACCGAATTATCGATCCAAGTCTTTCAAATGAACTGATATTAAACAACAACACAACTGATCAACAGCATAGATTTTCTATTTAGTCAATTACCATAAACTTGCATACAAAATATGAGACAGAAAAATAAACATAAGCAACTTAAGGATACGGGTTTTGTAGGTCATATATATATATATATATATATATATATATATATATATATATATCAATGAAATTAAAACTTGATTAACAGGCCTAGTTCTTGTATGGCATATTATATATATCTGGTAGTGTTTCTAAAAAATATTTTTTAGTCATGTTTTAGTGTGGAATAATATTACATATGCTTATGTCCTGCAAACTGATACTTTATCTTTATATCAGTTCTGGCCTAATTTGTTAATAGAGCTTGTGGCTCAATGATTAAGACGTTAAATAAGAAAGAAAGATTAGTTCAGCGAAGAGTTCTCTTTTAGGCGAATTCATTTTCAAAGCTGTACAATCGCAAATATATATACTTATTTTTACAGGGTGATAATAATACTGATAATAAACTTCTGTTATACATGGTGACAATGAGGTTAAATAAACAAAGGTATTAACCTCACTGTCACCATGTATAACAGAAGTTTATTATCAGTATTATTATCACCCTGTAAAAATAAGTATATATATTTGCGATTGTACAGCTTTGAAAATGAATTCGCCTAAAAGAGAACTCTTCGCTGAACTAATCTTTCTTTCTTATTTAATGTCATAATGGGTGTATTCCGTTTATTAAAAAAAAGATTAAGACGTTCACAATTTCCAGGTTTGAACTCTGCCCCCATCCCCAACTGCTTCGATTTGGTCAACCGGGTAGTATCGCTATTCCTCACTCACATTTGGAGTATGGCTCAAGTTTCGGGATATGAATCCTTACTCTGATTGGCTAGTAGTTAATAATGTAATGACCAGAACACTGGTGGGGAAAATCGAATGTACTTAATACAAAATTACAGGACTTCTTAATAAAATCTAACAATCATAAAGTTATTTCTTAATTTGCAAAATGTCCATCAGTTGTCTCAAAATGACTCAGACTTCATTGTTCTTTCATTTTCACACAAATTTCATTCTGTTTCGATTCTTTACTGTTCGATCCTTTTGTCTCTCTGCTCCCAGACCTTTTGTTCACGACTAACATCATATACTACTTGTCAATATAAGTAGCACATACCACAATAATAATAATGATTTATTATTAAATGAACAACAATTTTTCTTTTTGGTTTCTCTCTGTTTTCAACATAAGGTCCCACCAGTACCACCCAAACCAGATTTCGATGCATCTCGTGCTAAACTACAACGACTGGGTGAAAATGAAGGCAATCTACCCGTAGACGATCTGCGGAAAATGAAAGCTGAATTAGAAGCGTAAGAAGGGTCATTAATATCCTTACTATTTTCCTTTTATAAAATAAAAAAAAGGAATTTGTAGTTTACAACTGATCATTGACAAGGTCCGTCCTAATACTGTCTGAATTTTGATCGATCGAGTTGCGATATGGCCACTGATCTTTAAGTGACTCAATATCGCTAGCATCATGATTGAAATTTAAGATGGTGGTTGAAGTTAGTCGACAGGGCACTCTGCTCAAACTATGTTTTGTACTATTTGTCACTAATTGCCAGCAAGGTCTACCTGTTATCTTGAGGAAACTGATACTTCCTGGCTAATATAATCCCGTCTCACTCAGCCTCGCAGTCAGAGATATTACCACCGAGCTATTCGGGCGGCAAGTAACTAATAGCTAACTAAACTGTTTTTAATTTTCATAAATAAATGTTAATTACTGTTGTAGTGCAATCATATATACTGCTCTCTTCATCATTTAACCCATTCACCCATCCAAGAATTGTACAGTCAAAACATAAAATAATAGTCAGTAAAACACTTACAAAAGTTCCAATGTCTTCCATACTCGGTCCATTATTTATTTATTTATTTATTTAAGCACATCAACATTGATACAAGGAGGCATCAAATAGATATGTGCCACGTTTCATCATTCGATTTGTGTGAGGTATGGAATACTGCCCGGACTCCCAAACCGAAGCGGGTGGTTTTCTTACTAAGGCCAAACTTCGATCCTTTGACCTAGAGGTTTAATCAACATGACAGTGGAGTAATGTTAGGAGATTCAGTCCCATGGTAGCCGGTGACCAACAGTAGTTTCATACTCCATTTGTTAAATCAGGACCCTGGAGCCAATGTGCACCAAGGTTTCCCAACTCTTCTAGATGGATCCTCCATATCCATCAATCCGGTTTAAGCTCTGGACATTGGCTTTTCGTTCTCTCACTTTCGTAGACAACATCCTCACCACGAGAAAAAAGTGGGTAGGACTTTCCTGACAGTGACTGTATACGTGTAGCCATGTGAGAGCATTTCAAGAGGAAGAGTGGACTCTCCCCACTCTCAGTCGTACCAGGGCATTTGGGGGCAATTAATCCATTATAAGTAGTCAGTCAATAGACGGACCAGCATACATGAATTCGCTATTAATAAATCAAGATTTCGTTTTCCTCACGAGCTATTGATTAAAGAAGTGTGCATACTGACATCACATTCATAAGGTGCGCTTTTTCCCACTCGCTAGTTAACACACCCTTATTGCGAAAAATCATATTTGACACTTTATGGTTTGCAAAATAAGGTTTTTGTTCTTCCACTCCTCGTATTCATTAGATAAACTACATACCTGATAGTCTTTGTTATTTGAATCCATTGGTACTTGTAAATTCGACACAAAATGTATTACAATTCATGTATTCAGTTGTTTTTTCTTGTTCTATACCAACATGATTTGATATAATTTCTCTCCATCAATTCTACAATCTCTATACTAAATCTTGAGAAATATTCTAATTTACATATCGTTAGTTATCATAATAATAGTAATTATTGTTATCGTTTTGTGTCTGTGATAAACATTTCACGTTATGCTTAAATTTTAAGTAATAATAATAGTTGTATATATTCATGTGCTCGCCTACTTTGTTTTGTATGTAATCTAACTAAAAATTTTCTATTACCTAACTTTTATCAGCCTATTGTATATTAACCGGTTATGTAAGCACATATGTACTTATATGATATAACGGATGGTTCAAATATATTTCTCTCTCAGGTATACTTTAATAATGCCTTAATACAATAATGAGACTAGTTACGTTATATCAGATCCAGAATTCTCGACTCAGAATAGAGACATGGATTAACACTTGATGCTATTTTATTCAACACAGTTACAAGCAGTCGCATTCAGTGAGTTCGAAATACAAATCAAAATCAGAGGAAAGGAAATTACATGTTCAAGTCAGTAGGCCAAGTACCTGCTTGTCCACGCTCAGTGACCAAACATATTTTACTTTCACTAGCACATATCAATATGTTTGCTCACAGCTAGTTATGACAGTTGTGATTACCATCTTTTAAATAATTACGTCTGTTTTGGTAGTATGCTGTGTATTCCATTATAAACCAGTAGCTGGCAGTAGTGATACTAACGTACGTCTGTCACCCGTAGTGGAGGAGCATATGTCACCCACTAGCATTCTCCATTGAACTGTCCTGGACAACCCTTTCCACTTGTTTCCATTCGCTATTCATCCTCTTCAAGTCTGCTTCGAATTCTTGACTCAATGTGTCCTTTGGTCTTCTTCTTTTCCGTTTCCTTTCAAGATTAGGGCTTGCTTCGTGATGCAGTTTGATGATTTCCGAAATATATGTCCTATCCACTTCTATCGTCTTTTTCTAGTTACCTGTTCATCTGAAAAACTGGTTTTCCACTCCCACTGTATGCTGTTGCTGATGGTATCCGATCGACGGACACTGAGTGTCTTGCGTAGACAATCACTGATAAATACTTCTACCTTTTTGATGATGGCAGTAGTAGTTCTCCAAGTTTCAGCTTCGTACAATAGAGCTGTCTTGACGTTTGTACTGAAAATTCCGAATTTGATATTGGCCGACAGTTGTTCAGAGTTCCACATGTTCTTCAGTTGTAGGAATGCTGCTCCTACTTCGTCAATACGTGCCTTCACATCTGCATCGGATCTTCTTTGTTTATCGACGATGCTGTCCAGATATGTGAACGTTTCCACCCCTCCTGGGGTTTTTCCATCAAGTGTGATCGGCCAGATGTTCTCTGTATTCTATTTGAGGATCGTGCTTTTTTGTTTATGTTGAGACCTACTGATGCAGAGGCTTCTGCTACACTGGTTGTCTTGACCTGCATTTGTTCGTGCGTATGGAATAGAAAGGTCAAGTCATATGGGAAGTCTAAATTGTCTAGTTGCATCCAAGTTGTCCATTGTATTCCGTGCTTCTCCTCAGATGTGAAGGTCTTTATAATCCAGGAAGAGAAAAGGTGAGAGTAAGCAGCCTTGTCTGACTTCGGTCATCACTTGAAATGCGTCTGTCAGCTGACCTCATTGTACGACTTTGCAATGTAGTTGGTCGTATGAATTCCGGACGATGTTGACGATTTTCCCAGCTACTCACATCATAGTGTCGCAAAAGGTTCCATAAAGTCCTCCTATTCACACTGTCAAATGGTTTCTCATAGTCAAGAGAGTGGATATATAGTGATCAGTTCCATTCAATTGGTTGTTCAACGATGATCCGCACTGTTGCGATTTGGTCTGTGGAAGATCGATCCTTACGGAATTCGGTGTGTTGATCCGGAAGTTGGGCGTCTACTGAGTTTTTCATCCGGTTCAGCAACACTTGAAGACGTTTTCTGGTACTGACAGTAGCGTGATACCTTTGTGGTTCTCACACTAGCTCAGATCTCCATTCTTTGGAATTTTGATGAGGTGTCGTTTTTTCCAGTCCAGTCCATCGTCATTTGTTCCTCCTCCAAAATCTTCCAGAATAGGACGTGAAACATGTTTTCAGTTGCTTGTATGTGGTTTCCCACGATCTCTAGTCAACCTGAATGGCAAGTTAATGTAGGTCCTCCGTCCCTTTACGAAGTTGAAAAAGCCATAGGAAATCTGAAACGAGGGAGAGCAGCAGGCCCTGACAGGTTTACTCCTGAGATTTTTAAGGATGGTGGTCCAGTATTAGCAATGAGATTAACCGAGGTCTTAGGTAGAATTTAGGAACTGGACGTAATCCCATCTGACTGGTCTCAATCACTGATTGTGCCAGTCTATAAGAAAGGACAAAAGTCCTCTTGTGACAATCACAGAGGAATCAGTTTGACCAATATAGTGTCTAAAATATTAGCTTCAATAATACTTCGACGCCTAATCAAAGCTCGTGAAGAGCAGACTAGAGAGAACCAGGCCGGTTTTCGACCTGGACGTGGTTGTATAGATCAGATATTCACACTACGTCAGGTTCTAGAACACAGACACACATTCAGACGCCCCACAATGGTAGTATTTCTCGACCTTAAGGCGGCATTCGACTCTATTGATCGTGAGGTTCTATGGCAGTGTTTGTCACTGAAAGGAGTACCAAAGAAGTACATTAACCTTATAAAGGCTCTCTACTCGAACACAACTGGTAGAGTGAGAGCTTATGGCGAACTGTCATCAGAATTGATTACCTCAAGTGATGTTCGTCAGGGCTGTCCACTCTCCCCATTCTTGTTCAACTTTGTCGTGGACGTACTTTTAGAGATAACACTCTCCTCATCTGAATTTCCAGGGGTTCAACTTGTACCGGGAGGTTCACTTGTTGACTTAGAATATGCAGATGACATAGTTTTATTTGATGAAGACGCTGACAAAATGCAGAGTCTTCTGACCACTCTAAGCAACAATGGAAGCATGTTCGGGATGCGATTCTCTCCCTCGAAATGCAAAATGTTGCTTCAGGATTGGGTTACATCGACACCCGAACTAGTGATAGGGAGTGAAGTAGTTGAGTGTGTCGACCGCTTCACTTATCTTGGAAGTCTGATCAGCCCTTGTGGTCTGGTGTGTGACGAAATCTCAGCACGGATACAGAAGGCTCGACTAGCTTTTGCCAACTTGCGTCATTTATGGCGTAGGCGAGATATCCGTCTATCAACCAAAGGAAGTGTTTACTGCACAGCAGTTCGTTCCGTCCTACTTTATGGCAGTGAAACATGGCCGGTAAGAGTAGAGGATATCCGTAGGCTACTAGTATTCGATCATAGGTGTCTTCGAAACATTGCTCGTATATCATGGGACCATCGAGTAAGTAACACAGTTGTTAGAAAACGGGTACTAGGTAAGGATGGCAAATCAATTGATGAAGTAGTGAAACTTCATCAGTTGAGATGGCTGGGACACTTGTTACGTATGCCCAACGACCGACTGCCTCGACGTGCTATGTTCAGTGGTATAGGAGTAGGTTGGAAGAAAGCTAGGGGCGGCCAAACCAAAACATGGCACAAGTCCATGAAGTCACTGACAAGTGAACTGAGTCATGTTGGTAGGTGTAGACTACCTGGTTGGGGACCGCGAGATGATAGCAACCGATGGTTAGAGACCCTGAATGACATGGCTCAAAATCGTTTGCAATGGCGCAGGTGCATCCACTCTTTGTGTTCTCCCAAATTCTAATCTTCTGAATTCTTCATGTCCCTTTTTTCCTCTTTCCAAATTTATTTCACTGTATTATACTCTTTAAATAACATCTCCAAACCCTAATCTTCCCGATTACTGCTTATACTCTTATTACCTCTACCACTACGGGATTTGAATCGACCGCTGCATCTCTGTGCTAATGTGGTGTGGCAACTCGAACTGATGTACGTACGTACGAAGTTCTACGTTGTTACTGACTGACTGCTTGTATGTCTGACTTCAGTGCTTCAGCTGGTATATTGCCAGGTGCTGCTGCTTTCCCACTCTTGATTTGTCTGATGGTCAACCTGATTTTTTCGATCGTTGATGGAGTGACATCTATGGGAAGGTCTGTATGTGGTGTTTCGATGTGCGGTGGATTTAGTAGAACTGGCCTAATCAAGAGTTCCTCAAATGTCCCTCCCTTCCTCTCCTCTGCTCTTGAATGCCAATGATTGGCTTTCTTTCTTTGTCGTTATAGGTCTCTCTGGTTTACCATATTTCCCTGCTAGATTCTTCGTTGTGTCATATATTGGTTTCATATTTCCTTTTTTTGCAGCTTTTCCTGCTGTTGTTGCTAGGTCTTCGACATATTTCAGTCTGTTAGCTCTATTGTTCTTCTTTACTTGCTTGTTTGCTTCTGTGTTTTCAGCTTGTGCCTTGACTTTCTTTGTTCTTGTCGGACTGTTGTCAATTGCTGTCTTCTTGTTGTTCGTTTCTTGAATCTTGTGTAGGGTTTAAATGTAGATCCATTCCTCATGGTGATGCTTCTTGGGGTGCAGAACCTCCTGGCACGTTGAAGTTAGTGCTTCTTTGATCCCTTTCCAGTTGTGTTCCATAGTAGTTCCTTCTTTTAGTCGATCTTGTATGGTTTGGAAGCGGTTATTGGGAGCTATCTTGAATTAGTTGAGTTTGTCGGTATAAGCTTCAGTGATAATAGTATTGAAAACTAGATATCAAAGAAAATGTGTAGTTATTCAATTAATTGCAATCACAAAGTGTATGTTGAATTTGTTGTGAAATCGGGAATGAAGTATTAATCAACGGTAAAGTTTTTATAGGTAGATTATATTAAGTGTGGTTAATTTATTCTTACATGCATGCTTGCAAGGACACACCGTTCGTCCTAGATTAACTGTGATCAGTAGTTAGGGTTATTAGGTGACATCGTTAGAGTGTATGTTTATGTTTTATTGTTTTGGTTCAATTTAATTATATATCAGCCTCCCAATCCATATCAATTATTTTTTGCCTGTTTCTTGTTTTTGGATTAAGCGAATATCAATATATACTACTAAAAATAAAATACCGATTATCATTCATAGATTGTTGCTTGTTTTCTGTATATAACGTACCTCCGGTATGATATACACTTCAACTGTTCAGTACTTTTTGAATTAAATTGAATAACTGAGGTAACACTAGTCATATTTAACATAAATGATTGGTTTATTTTCTATTACTTGAGTCGTATGTTATTACATCCCAAAATGTATGATATTGCTATGATTGTGATATAGAAGAGGAATTATTTTGATCAATTAATCATAACATTGTTCACACTGGTGGCAAGTTAACCTCATAAATGCTAATGATGCTTGTGAGCGGTAATAATATGTGATCGACAGCTTAGTAGGTGACTCAATGGTTAAGACTTTCAAGCTTCAGCCATTAAGTTGTATGTTTGAACTCCGTTGTGTCTACTTCGTTTTAGGCAACTATGTAATATCAGTGTAACTCAAAAACAATTACATTAATCATAAATTCTCACTCACACTTATTAAAAGTGTTTAGCATACGTAGTCTTTGATACTCGTCACTTCTCAATTCAGTTCATCTCCGCTTAACTATATTTTATTATTCTTTTTATAGGGCGTTACAGAGATTGTTGAATTCGATGATTATAATAATTAGTAAAACAGTCCCAAGAGTCCCAATGTCCTCAATACCTCGCCCTGTTATAATATCAACATAGCGTATATTGACATTTACTGCTAATTGTTTGATCATCAGTTCATAATTCATTTAATTTTAGTAAAAAATGTCCCATAGGTTTATTTTCTTTTGTTTGCTTATTTGTTTTCAGTGAATACTTAGCTACTTTTAAGAAAACAGTTGCAATGCATGAAGTGTTTTTACAACGACTAGCATCACATCCAACATTTAAACATGATCATGGTTTTCGTGTATTTCTGGAATTCGAAGAAGAATTAAACGTACGAAATAAGACAAGGAAAGAAAAGGTATTTTCTTTTTTTACAACGTATCTCAGCAACATTATACATATAACTATGAATTTAAAATACATTTGTTATTTAAGAATGTTTAATGTTGGAGATATTGTGAGGTCTCTGAGTCTAGGTGGTTTAATTGTTAAGTTTTTATTGTCCTACAGAACAACATCATTAGTATGTATTTCAAACTGAAATAGCGACCTATCAGAATTTTACCTTGCCATCGACTTACAGCGTGTCCTGTTGACCTGGGATGCGGTTGGTTATTGCGCATTACTGTATTATCGTTGTTTGTATTTTCGTTTTTTTTGCTTTTCTCTCTCTCTGTTGACTTGATCTCTGACCTTACAGTTGTTAATCCTTGTGCTTATTAGCTGATAGATGTGGTTGATTTCGATCTGTTTATTGATTGACACTTGATTAGAGTACTAAGTTCTTTTTTGTGTTTCTTTACAGCTGAACTTTTGTCCATATGGATTGATATGAGGAAAGCCATACCGTGTCGTTTAATATTTAACTGGTTTTCATGTGGATGTAGACAAAGAGAGCAATCAGTTTGTTCTAGTCTAGCTGTTTGGATCCTTTTAAACGATGTTAGCTTAATAGTAATAGTTGAAAGTAACTTCACTTGCAATAATTTAGTCATACATTCAAATCCTGTTCCACTTTGTTTAAAACAACCAAATTGTATCATTAGCAGTAACACGAAAAGTATATCTCCAAGGCTAAGTACAGTTTATGTAGTGATTATAGTTTGGTATTTATTAACTAAGTATCTCTCATGTATGGATCCCACTGTCATAATTAGAGTAGATATTCTGACAAAGAAATTTATTTAAACACATCAACATTGATACAAGGAGGCATCAAATAGATATGTGCCACGTTTCATCATTCGATTTGTGTGAGGTATGGAATACTGCCCGGACTCCCAAACCGAAGCGGGTGGTTTTCTTACTAAGGCCAAACTTCGATCCTTTGACCTAGAGGTTTAATCAACATGACAGTGGAGTAATGTTAGGAGATTCAGTCCCATGGTAGCCGGTGACCAACAGTAGTTTCATACTCCATTTGTTAAATCAGGACCCTGGAGCCCATGTGCACCATGTTATGACTTTATGTCCGGCTTTTATCACGTGACTTATCCACCAATCAAAATACGACTTATACAATCTTCGCTTTGTGCCAAACCAATGACGTTCGACCGGTATAGGCAGTCTAGCATCCTTATTGGTCCCATGTCCGCCTAACCCGTCCACTTAAGTAGAGAACACCAATACCAGCTTCCACTATGCGATGCGAGTCGAATCGAATCTTTTATTCCAGACATACTGGGTTTATATATCAATCAAACAGACCGCAACGCACCACAACATAGGAAATAACATTTGTACACAATAAAGCCAAAAAGTGGCTGTGAACGTGGGAGGCAGTAGTCAATAAACTGAACATAGATTACGAACAGTAAGTCGTACAGTAATAAATTGTAGGTCAAAGTAAAGCTTATAATAAGAGGAATATAAATATACACAGTCTAATTATTGAATAGTTATACCAAAGACTGTATAGATAATATGTCTCATAAGTTACTCATGATTTAATCTTCGCTCGGATATAACACATCATTGGTTTGGAATCAAGGTTTCCCAACTCTTCTAGATGGATCCTCCATATCCACCAATCCGGTTTAAGCTCTGGACATTGGCTTTTCGTTCTCTCACTTTCGTAGACAACATCCTCACCACGAGAAGGAAGTGGGTAGGACTTTCCTGACAGTGACTGTATACGTGTAGCCATGTGAGAGCATTTCAAGAGGAAGAGTGGACTCTCCCCACTCTCAGTCGTATCAGGGCATTTGGGGGAAATATGTAATAACTCTGTAATGTGTTTAAATTTCAAGCGAACTACAAAAGATTCCATATCAAACAATTCATTGCTTTTATTGCATAAGTGATTTGACCATAGAATTATATTGCCGACCACACACAAATTCAGTTATCTATCGAATGTTTGAGACTTTACAATACTACGAGCTTACAACGTCATCTCAGATAGAATACAAAAACTTCCTACCTCATTCCGGTGAGCTCAGATTACCTTAAAGATTATTTATTGTCAAAATCCAGTGGTATTCCATCTTCTTAAAACCCCAACCAGTTTGCGACAAGTACTATTATTATTATTATTATTATTATTATTATTATTATTATTATTATTATTATTATTATTATTATTATTATTATTGTCCTATTACTGTTGGTTGGGTATCTGCCCCAACCATTTTGTTTTTTCCTCTTTAATTTTTATCAAGATATTACAAATACAAAATTCATTTTAATTATATAAATCATTTTGTTTCTGTATTTGACTTTTTTAGGCTGTTGATTTTTTAAAATCTGTCTCAAAATCAGCTGATGAAACTTTATGGTTAAATAATCAACGTGATAATGATGTTTTCTTTCGTGACGAGAAATGTATTTTAGCTGTTTATCATTCAGCTATAAAAGATGCAACGGTGGCAGCGGATCTAGCATCGAAATGTCGTAAAACTAATGCAAATACTTTATTACAAATTGAATTGGCTCTATCTAATTTAATTCCAAAAGAATGCAATATCACTTCTGAAACCGAGTTAGTTGGATTGTTATTTTTTTAAAAAATAGATTTTGATTGCTTTGTTTTTTTTTGCAATAGATTGTGTTCATTTGTGATTACTTCTCTCTCTCTTCCCACTTCTCCGTGATATCGACTTTTGTTGTGTTTGACTTTTAATTGAAACGAATGCACTAAATATATACATATTTCAAAGAAATATAAGGAAGGAAAGTATCAATTATTTACAATACAGTTTTCACGGTTTAAATCATGAATTGATCTTAACTAAGCAACCGTCAAAAACTCGGAAGCACTGGACAGCTGTCTCGTCTTGATATAAGACTCCTCACTAGTGTCCATCCACAACGTCATCAGAAGGAATCGAACTGACGACTTTGTATCTCGCGCATGGACGCTTAACCTCCAGACCGTTGAGCCGGTACCAAATGGTTTACATGTCTGATTCTAATCAGTTCACGATTGTACAGCTATCATTCACTGCCTGCTTTAGATAAATGTTTCACACACGACCTAGTTGAACTCCATTGGTCACTACAATTGTTAAATCTAGGCTACAGTGGAACTTTAACTAGATATTGTAGTTGTCTTTTAGCTTATTAATATTTTCTAAATTCCATTTAACGGAAAGAAGGCCATCTCATGTGATTCAACTGTCATAGTAGTCTAGGTTTTCGAAATAAGCACCTACTCAATCATATAAGCGGATCTGAAAGGTTAGGAAAATTTAAAATTTACTTCCTTATCGGTCTTTCATCTTTTTGCCAACTCTTCAGCCGGACCGAATAATAAATTAGCCTAAAATCATTTTAACAGTGAATAGATTGTCACTTAGTAAACTCAGTGTTCAGCTAGCCCATACTGGGTATTTATTTGCTGTAGTCGTAACGCAGCTCATAAAATAGATCCGCCTATTCTAGAGTCATATCCACCGTACATCTCTATCTAAATCTTCAGTATATTTTCTTCATATAATTTTAATTTTTCCACTTTACTTATCTCTTTCGACGTATACTTATCATGTTTAGCTTTCCAATCCAATCAATGGTAATTTGTCATTCTACATTCCTCATTCTGTTAATTTCCTTTCGCTACATTGTTAAAAGTTGTGGCATCTCAGACTGATGTACATTCATATAATGTACTACATTGATTATGAATGATTACGTACTTTAGACTACTTGTAAGTAAACATATAACATAAATTATGTGAACTCTTTGTAACGGTCGCTTCGTAACGTCGTTGGATTGCGTGATAACCTTAGTTCCGATAACTATTAATAAATATTGTAATAAATTTATCCTAGATAGGATGAAAGACGCCTCCCAAATTTCACTGCTGGCCACGTTTAATTTATCCCATGGTTATATCGAAGCAATCCTCACAGGACACACATGTCAGATAAAATTAATTAAAATCCATTACAAAAGTATCAACAATGGGATAATCCTAAGAGAAAAAGTACTATTACAAATTGATAAGCAGAGATGGATAGTAACTTGTCGTGGAAACCAAGACTCGCGTTTCGTCCTATTTGGGGCTCGTCAGCCGAATGTACCTGCATCCCAGAATTGATGTTTTCTCCAGGACTCGAACCCACTACCATTCGCTTCAAACCCCATCGCATTATTCACTTAGCTTCCAAATTGAACTATGTAAACAATTTTTATACTTCAAGATAATTCAGAGTTTTGCTGTTACAGTTCTAGTATACATTTTATTCGTTACTCATAATTGTGTTTGAATTATTTCTTCTCTTCAACAGTTTGACAACTTTGTTATCCAATTTCTTTGAAAGCTTTCAAGTGAGCTAATCCCTTATTTTTGGTATATAATATTTTAATGTGTAAGATGGTAAGTGGTTGTAGAGTTAGTCGACAGGAAATCCTGTTTCACTTACGTTTTGTGCTATTTGGCACTGCTTTTTAGCAAATTGTGCCTGTTATCTTAAAGAAACTTTTAGTGGCCCAGAATCTGATTCCAGTTTGATCAGACCAATGATCTTTATCAAATGGTTGCTATCGGCAGTCTCACCACTTTGATGTCCCTCTATCTGACTCTAGTAATATCATATGATTGATTGAGTAGTTTGAGTTGCTCATCGATTAAGTCGGTCATTTCGTTTATCGGACGCGTAGAATTCGAGATGTTCACCGTTTTCGTAGATTTACGAGGTGAGTTTAGTTCGAAATCGAGCTTACCATTTTAGTGGTGCCGTGATCTCTCCAGTTTGATCGTATGGTCGAAAACTGCATTGTTTATCGATTGACCTGGCTTAGCTCAGTTTATTCGCCGAAAGTGTGGAGTGTAGAAGGTTCTCGATTGCCGTAGTTTTCTTCGTTCAGTTAACCGACGGCGGACCACCACTTTACTGGAGCCCTTCATTTTGACGTCAATTAGACCGTATGACTGATTGAGTAGTCCGAGTTGGTTCACTCGCCTACTTCATTACGCGTCATTTTGTTTTGTTTCGCTTCCCGATCAACGATTGTACGAAATATACTTATTCAAAAATTCATCCTCGTATTTCACTTATTTTATTTCGTTATTAACCAATGTGAGTTAAGTTTATGATTATATATGAGGATTGGCGACATGTATATTTTGATAACAATCAGAAACGATCCAACTGGAGTCAGGTTTTGGGCCACAAAGAACTGATGCTCCCTAGCTCTTTCGTTCCCATATTACCTAGCTTTACAGTCAGAGACGTTACCACTGAGCTGTTCGGGCTATGACTGACCCCGTAGAACTGAGATGTATTTATACTTGATTGATCACTGAATAGTAACGAATGTTACATCTAAAGTTCTCTTTAGTACTAATTGAATTCTATTGATAAAGTTGCAATGTAGTGAATATTAGTCCTTGTGGCTCGACATCGCGTGCATTGTGTTGAGGTGGGATGTACGACGATGGTTGGAGATAGTTAACTGGAAGCCGTGGACCTAGGTTTCGTGTTATTTAACACTTGTCAGACTAGTGGCCACATTGCAACTTGCCTGTCGGTAGAATTTGATCAGCACTGAGAGCGACTTAACATGCATGACATTGGTCACCACTCAATGGTCAATCAGTCGTACATACTTTTGTGTTTAAATAAAAACTTTTAACTGTCTCACAAATATTTGTTTAATCGTTTATTCCCAACGCATCCCTCACACATGTCATGTAAAATATACAAAAGCAATTACTTAATATTTATCCACATACTAATGTTTATTCCACTTAAAACGTAATTTTGATTATATATGAAATTTAAGGCTGTCTGTTTTCTTTTTAAAGTTTTTTTTCTAATTTGCGATCTGAATGTTCGTTTTTTCTCCCGTCTCTAAAACGAGGTTCAGTGTGTGTGTGTGTTGTTTATCACTTACTTGAAGGGGGTAGCATAGTGGTTAAGGCGTTCGGATTTCAACCACTAGGTTGTACGAATTCCCAAGTTCCATTTCACCTACCTCTGCAGTGGTACACTAGCTCTTGTACGTAAACTGTAACTCAAAGCTTATTACACCAATCGGTAGTTAGTAAATGAATCAGATCTATCTAGTATATAACTTACTGATTAACTTGCCGACTGACTGGACATGTTAGTACCGTCACTTTAAATAACAAAATACTTTTTATAGATATAAAAATGAGTTATTATTGGAAAGTTACCTATATTTGTTTTACATTTAGGACTGGAATACATGCTTTTTTTCATTTTGCGCTTCTGCTCATAAATGACTACATTCAAATAGACTGTGAATGAAAATGAATGGTTTCTCAGATTGTCCTAAATTTTGTCGAATTTTTCTCCTGTGAAATATAAAAGTATATATTCAATCGACTGATCATTCAGCAGTTATCAATGTTATGTTTATCTAGTCCTTTTGTGCTGATTGAATCCTATCGATCAAGTTGTAACGCAGTCACTGGTGTAAGTGACTTGACATAACGTTTATTATGTGTTAGGTGGTTGGAGGTAGTATACAGGAAACCCTGAATCTAGGTTTCATTTTAGTTGGCACTCCTCAACAAGATCCAGGGTTGTCTTCCAATCAATTTATTGATAATGTCTAACGATGAAGCTAGGTGGTTCATGTTCCAGTCTCACAAAGAGCATTAGTCCCCTCAAAGTTATAGATACACCTTGTTGATGTGTGTCAATTAATGCAAAACTTAATTTTAGGGTTTCCTCCCGAATATTTCTAACCACTTAAATTGGCAGTATTGCTATTGCAGTCGATTCCGAGCTATGTTATTCGATTTATTCAACTGCTGGTTATGATAATCGTGTTGACCCCAACCAAGCAGTTTACACCTACGTACACGGCTCATCCCATCATTCTTCTTGAAACATCACAAGAAAACAGCGAAGAGATGCGTATTTCGTCCTAAAAAATACTCATATTTTTTATGTTTAAAAGTTAAAAGTTAATACTATTTTTTTGGTTTCGGCCAATACGTCATATGTAGACACTATCTGTCACATCAGTCCAAGTTAGCCAGCCATGTGCAGCATAGAGCCTGGCACGTACGTTCAACAATCCAAGTTACCATACCACATTAGAACAGCGAGATAAAGTTGTCAAGACACCTGAGTATTAGAATTAGTAACGTTATCAGTACTATTAAGAAAGATTAGATACAGTAAAAGAGCGAAAGATGGAGCGAAAAGGTGTCGTTACTCATTGTAAAAGAAAACAGAGTGAATGCATCTACGAACGTTCATGAGCCCTGTCATGCAAGGTTTCTAACTATCGGTTACGATAATCATACGGATCCTAACCAGGTACCGGGATTGGGATCTGTACAGTTATATTTTTCCCTAGTAAAAGAATCAAAGTACTAAATCTTTATCATTAGTTTTTTCTTTCAATTTTAAATTATTTTACTTTCCAGTTGTTCATAAGGACTGTTCCATGAATTGCGTTTTGTTAAGAACTAATGTCGATTATTAAGGATTATTTATTGATTTTCGACATTACGTTTGTTCAGTTAAATCCAATCATTAGCATAAGTTTCATAAATAACTGTACTGAATTCAGTGTTTTATTGAGTTTCTTTTTTTACTCTTCAGAATATAGCCTAGTGCTTTTGTGGAATAAAAATGTTCTTATTTTTCAATATATTTATTTATTTATTTGGACACATGAATATTGGTACAAGAGAGCGCCAATAAAAATGATGCTGAATAAACCAGGTAGATTGATAAGAGGATGGAGCCTATTATGTCGGGTAGGCTAAGCAAATTGATGAATGCATCCCATTTGTACACATTGGTATAGACTATTGCGAATTAGTTTCCATAATTTCCACTTTTTATAGGCACTGTTTTATTCTCACGACTTTATGGTAAATTACTGAGGACTAGGTATAGAACTGGAAGGAACTCCTCTATTCTGAACTAGTATTCACTGTCTATCAAATGAGAAAGAATGGTACTGTCTACAGATTTCATGAGTCTTTTTACTAATCAAACAAAATAAGCGTTCGTGACCACACAGGAATATAAGACTCTCCAATCGAAACCTATGTAACACTCTTGTATCGCCATGTTGAAATAAGTCAGGTTATTATGATTCATTGTTCACTAAAATGACTCATTGAGGGTCTTCAAAAAGTATTTGTTAATTTCTGCTTAGAGTGTATTGTTTTTGTGAGTTAAGTTTTGTATGTTGTTTCTGAAGCTCATGTAATATTCAACGGTCAGTCATTAGACAAAATTAAAAAAAATAATTAACAGCTGAATGTTTTATTAAATCCGTACATTTTAAAATATATTTAGATTGATGTAATATAATGTCGACAAATTCTTGTCACTTTTTTATCTTTATCATGCGAAACTACCACAAAATGGGATTGACTAAATCACATGAATACAGTCATTCAAAATCTATCCGTTCAATCAACAACCATATTTCAATGATAATAATAATATAAATCAATAAAACGCAGTGAACTAAAAATTTTCTGTTTAGCTAAATTGGTTCTATGAGAAATACATTTATTATCTAAGTTAGGGTCAATTCTCGATCAGAAGCATGTGTTAGGGATGCTAGATCTCCAGAAATCACTTAGTAAACGTTTTATTTGTGTAATATTATTTTGGAAATTCGAATTTCTCATTTTCGCATTAAAAGCGACCATTTTACCTTCAGATTGTATTTCTCGATTGAAAGGACCTTACATGTCATTAGTTCGTTCCCTTTTTTAATACGCTATTTTTTGACGTATCCTAATGACATTTTTATACTGCATATATGCACTTGAGTTGTGTGCTTATTCATTCGTGCTTCTGGCTGCTTGTGGGATATACTTTTCCCTTATCTGAATCTGATCCCTCTATAATTTTCTCCAATCCACACTGTCAAATGCTTTCTCATAGTCAAGAGAGTGGATATATAGTGATCAGTTCCATTCAATTGGTTGTTCAACGATGATCCGCACTGTTGCGATTTGGTCTGTGGAAGATCGATCCTTACGGAATTCGGTGTGTTGATCCGGAAGTTGGGCGTCTACTGAGTTTTTCATCCGGTTCAGCAACACTTGAAAACGTTTTCTGGTACTGACTGTAGTGTGACTCTTCTGTGGTTCTCACACTAGCTCAGATCTTCATTCTTTGGAATCTTGATGAGGTGTCCTTCTTTCCTGTCCATCGTCATTTGTTCCCCCTCTTTCCAAATCTCCCAGAATAGGATGTGAATCATGTTTTCAGTTGCTTGTATGTCTGACTTCAGTGCTTCAGCTGGTATATTGCCAGGTGCTGCTGCTTTCCCACTCTTGATTTGTCTGATGGTCAACCTGATTTTTTTTGATCGTTGGTGGAGTGACATCTATGGGAAGGTCTGTATGTGGTGTTTCGATGTCCGGTGGATTTAGTAGAGCTAGCCTAATCAAGAGTTCCTCAAATGTCCCTCCCTTCCCCTCCTCTGCTCTTGAATGCCAATGATTGACTTGCGTTGTTTGTGCTTGGACGGTTAGGGCAGATTTTAAATGGTTTAACTTGTTTATTCTGGTTACCAAACCCTCCTCCTCTATCCGTACTTGGGACTGGCAGTAACTCTAGGAGAGCTATAGGAAATTCTAATCAGTAGTTTGTTTTTATCTTGATATTTTTCGAGAAAAATATGAAAAATACTTGCATATAGTTCCATCTTATTTTATGTTAGCCTTTTATTGCTATTTAGTTTTTGGCAGATTATTTTTCGTTTTGTATTCAGTAATTGAGTTGAATGCTTAGTCGTAAACTATGAACGCTCGATCATTATTATTATTGATAACGTTATTGCCAGCCACCACGATGTCTCTATACTTTTTTGTTAGTTGTACAGTGAAAGGTCGTAAACTTTTCGTAAACGCGCCTGAATAGGTTATGCGATTATAAGGTATGATAATGTGTTAGAACAAATCAAAATATATAACTTGTTGAAATATGTAGAAGGGGAGGACGAGTATCCCAGATATTCAAACAGGTCGCCATTGGTGATCGTAGTGTGATAATATCGTCTGACTGCAACACTTAATGATTGATACAGATTCAAATCCCCTCGGTGATTGTAGATACAGCTTGTTGAAAAATCCCAACTAGCGTGAAACATTAGGCCGATCGTCAATTTCCTCCAATACATTAGAAATCAAAATGCCTAACTATTAATAAATCACTTGGTTTAGTAACCGGATTACGAAATATATCGATAACTTTCGATCGCTGCCATAAACTATACAGGCTCGCGTTAATTGTTACCTAACAGTTAATGAGTATTAGTTTCCTTTAACCTTATTATGAGTTAAATGACTAATGTTTGTTTGTGAATTACTGAATCGATAAAACTATTTTATACGCATATTTTAATTTATTGTGAATCAGTTCCAAGTAGTTTCTTGTAATAAATGATTAATTTGTTAATCAATGAACTCATTTACAAGTGTATGAACCACACTCTCATAAAACTACCTGGTTTTTCAAACCAAAATAGATTGAGCAGAACTCGAACTTCAGATTTAATGTAACTTTAAAAAAAACCTGTTATTTATGTTTGCTAGAAAATTCTAGTTCGTTTGAGTTCGGATGAAGATTTAAAATTATCTGATACATTTCGTTACTATGCAATTGATACTGGAGCTGCACGTGACCTACTCTATCGTCGATGTCGTGCATTAGCAGATTATGAAACTGCTAATCGTAATCTTGATAAAGCTCGAGCACGTATGAAAGATGTTCAAACAGCGGAAGATGCACAAACTGCAGCTAATGAACGTTTCAAATCTATTTCAGAATCAGCTAAACTTGGTATGTGTTATATGATATAAATATCATGTGTGCGTATGCTATCACTTGTCCTTATTAATAAAAATATTTTTCCTCTGAGAGTTTAACTGTTATGATTATTGTAAGAATAGTGATGTTTAAATAAGCGTTGATATAATTTATTTAATTTTATTGTACAATAATATTTTATAAAATAATTTGAAAAGATGGCTCTAAAGGAACAAGAGTATGAAAAAGAGAGAAAAATTTTAATACATTAAGACTATGGTAGAAGAAGAGGTTGTAGCAGTCTCTATTGCATATACAATCCTGGTTTTTCCAGATGTATGGCTATTGCTTCGGCAATGCAAAGAAGATACAGTCTAATTGTCTTCGGAAGACTTCTATTTACCTTGTAGATGACTTTGAACGCAGAGTCTGTCTTGATTGAGTGACCCGTGTTCACAGGGTGTTCGATTATGGAATTTCTTATTGAGCCGTTGTTCACTTTTCTCAACTCTAAACATATACCAAATGTATACAATTTCTTAGTTGTGTTGCGTTCTCTGAACTGTTTGGTAATTTAATTATGATAAATATGACACACTTTACGATCTTATCTGGTATAGTTAGCGTTATTCAGTCAGTCATAAGCAACTTAGGATCTAGCATATACGTACATCGGTTCAAGGGAAAACAATAAGTGGACGCACCTGTGCTATTGTCAACGATTCTGGGCCATCTCACTTAAAGTCTGACACGTAGATGGAAATTTTGACCAGATGTACAAATGAGTCCTTTCATCAACATACGTAGACTACAAGATTTCACCTTTTGTTTGACCTTTAAATGGAATATGTGCACAGGCACCCGATATTTCTGGATGGTGTAAGTCTTATGATATATGCCCACATTCCTAGTACTAAGTCTTAATTTGATGATTATTGCCTGAATTGCTTTACGAGTAGTTTGTTTTGCGACATCAATCTCATCTGATTTTGTTTTGGTCTGCCTTATTAATGTGGTAATTTGAAGTGTATGCATCAAATTTTGGTAAAAATCATTGTATGCAATCAGGATCAAGAACGCAACTTATAGGTCCTCGTGCAAAATTCATATACCACCTATGACGAGCAGTAAAAATATCATTTAATACTTTTCGAAACGTTAAAAGAGATAGTGAAGAATTAATTTTTACAACCATACAGTGTTAAAAGTATCGAATACTCAATTCTGTTCTTTGTAGTTTATTATAGCTGGTAAATCAACATTATCCTCTAATCCCAACCGTAAACGCCTAATACTTAAACTAATCGTAATCTTGGGGCACTACATTTTATGTATGACATTTGAAATCATGAACCGATCAATGTTAGACCACCATCGAGTCCCTCATGCGGGATCATAGATACACACCGCCGAGGAGCCCTATACTAGGACGAAATGCTCGTACAGTTCTTCCAGGTTTTAATTGGTGGTCTAACATTGATCAGTTCATGATCTCAGCGAAATTCAATGATCTCGACAACCCGAAATTGAACATTTTGTGAATGAAGTAATCACTCAACGCCTCTGTGCATTTTTGTATTTCTGTGATAAGGACTCCAACACTTAATCCTTTAGTGCCTACCACAAGTGCCTAATTCTAACCAAGAACTTTGTGAGAACTCGGAAAGACCTATTTGGATCCTGATAAGGACAATCTATATCTACAAGGACATATTAATGTTTTGTTCTTTCTTCAATTTACAGACAGAGTAACCTGTAGAAGACTTTAAAAGATTCATTAACTATTTAAAATTTGTTTACACTTTGTAATATTATTGTTTTCTTTGCCAAAACTATCCCGACCGTTGTTGTTATATTGATGTGGTGGTCGGGCTTGCCTATCGTGATGAAACAATAGAATTATACTGGCTGGAACAATTGTTCCTCAAGGTCCTGCCATGCCGGACAGGTCAGTTGAAGAGCGGTAAGACTAAAAGCAGCAAACCCAAGGTCCGAAGGCGAAGTCGTACTGCTGACTACAGAGGTGTGACGGCAGAAAAGTGTTTCCTTCAGACAACCAATATAGCAGCGATGTTGCCTTTCCACAAGGAGGGACGGGGTTGGAAGCGGTCGACCCTAAGAATGCACACCTCGCCTTATCCCACGACTATCTGTCTCCGGCGGAAGGTTTCAACAAGCATGGAGGTAACATGAAAACTACTCACAAACCGTTCATGTTTGATCGACCTCAAGCAGTTATTCCTTGGGCACTCACGCTCACTAACATCACCTCTAAATCGATTTCCTTTTCAGGTCCCTCCAGGAAAACCCTTCCACGGTGTGGGCAACCGGAATGTGATAACCGCCCTTATACCTCTAACAGCACTCAGGACCACCGACTATACATTCATAAAGGGTGTTTTTTGATTGGCTATCAACTGGGTGAAAATCAGTCACGATTGTTTTAAGTTTGTACCTAGATCATACTGTTTCATTCATACTTCGAAAACAGCTTCCGTGTTCGTTTTAATTTTAAAACACTCTATTTCTTTTGTAATCCTATCTGCATTATTTTATTTCCTTGTAATAAATTCACTACCTACTCAAGATAATTTAATGTACAATTTTATCTATATTTTTTACAGAATTAGAAGATTTCAAAGTTCGTCGAATTAAATATTTCCATAAAAATTTAGTTGATCTCGCTGAATTAGAAGTCAAACATGCTAAGGTGAGTAAATGTATGTTTTAACTTGAAAAAGTCTGTTACAATTAATGTAGTATCTGGCTAAAATATCTGTTAACCAAAGCTGTGATACTTAGATTGATTTTGTTACAATTTGCGATGATTAACAACTAATCAATAGGCAAAACAATGATTTATCTTGAAACCTGTCATCAATTACTTATTAGCTGTGTAGAAAGAATTTTGCACACACACATTATTTGACATTTTAACTACAAAGTTTATTCATTAAATAAGAAAGATTAGTTCAGCAAAGAGTCATAAGTGTTCAATCAAACGATCATTAAACTTTCCTTGTTTTAAAATTTTTTTAATACCTTTGTTTATTTAACCTCACCGTCACCATGCATAACAGAAGTTTATTATCATTAATATTATCATCCTGTGAAAATAAGTATATGTATATTTGCGATTGTACAGCTTTGAAAATGAATTCACCTAAAAGAGAACTTTTCCCTGAACTAATCTTTCTTATTTAATGTCTTAATGGGTGTATTCCGTTTATTAAAGTTTATTTAGTTGTAGTATACTAATTAGTGACTTGTAAACGAGACCATAATCATCTTCAAGGTTCATTTCTAGATCTTAACATAATATATTACTAATTTAAGATCATCGCATTTCCAAACAAGTAAAAAAGTTTACACCTGATTAGAATGATGAAGTCGAAATAAAAAAACATAACCGATCATAGGTATCAATGCGCATATATATATTTGGTGCCCCCTTGTACCAATATTTATGTGTTCAAATAAATAAATAGTCAATGCGAATGTTGAACTTATTAGTTTCAAAAAGATTAAGCATTGGGTAGAAAGTTAATAATAAATAAATATTTTGTTGTATCCTAATGAGCAGAAAAGTTGTATTTCTGACGTTTCGTGACTCAATGTAAACCACTTCTTCAGAGTTAATAAATAACCAAATTAAATTAAACCAAGTTTAAGTAGTACAAAGGAAACACTACAGAATGTTTTTGGTACAATCAATATCATAATAAGTTTGAATATGCCAATGTCAGGCTATTCTTGATGAAGGTGAATTTGTATAACCTGTCTCTGTATTATTATTATTATTATTATTATTATTATTATTATTATTAGCTTTATTCAATATTATATTTTTGGTACAATATATAATTCTCAGCGCAAAGTATTTCAACAGGTTTCCGTTTCTTTGTTCCTGGTCGGTCCTGGCGATAAATATTGAGTGATCGCCAGTTAGATGTTAATAGTCCAGTAAATGAACATCTGAATAATGTACATTTTTTTTCGTTGTATATTGCCAGCAACCACATTCTTTCTTATTGAGCTTTTTGTAACTTTCACAACGAAAGGTTGTACACTTTTCAGAAACGCAGCAGAATTGGTTATGCGATTAATAGACATAATGATATATTAAAACAAACAAAAATAGATAACTTGTTGAAATATTTAGATGGCAGGAACAGGTAGCCCAGACGCTCAAGCAGGCCGCCTTAGATGAAAATTTAATTTGTGTGTCGGAATGTGGGCATGAAAAATGTATGCATTTGTAATCTGATGTAGTGGGGTTGAGATTGGGTATGTGTGTGGTTGGAAAATAAATAAGGTCAAATGTGGTTGTTTTATAAACAGTCGAGGTTGGATGAATATTCTGGCCTTGTTTGCTATTGAAGGAAGAGGGCTTTATCATTATATGAAACTCTTTGGCTACTATCCTCTTTTTATAATTGGGAAAGCCTTTCTGAATTATTTTGATAGTTTTGATATCCCTTTGGTAATTATTAAAAATATCATGTACTGCTATTGCTGATTTAACCTGTAAATTTTATTGAGTCTTTTGGTGAAACTTGAGTATTCCTTGGCACGAGTTGCAATCTCACGGGAGAACTCTCCAACGTTGAAGGCATCACAATGGACATAACCTAATCTGTAAACAAAATTTCGTGTGGAAGTGAACGTGGTCGTAGCTTTTATTTTAACTAAAGCATTTCTTAGAGTGTTAGTTGTCTTATAGAAAACTTTAATTTTGTACTTTTTCAATAACCGTTGTAATTCTTTTGTCGTACCTTGGTACACAAATTAATTCAGTGACAGGTCATAAAAATTCACCTTGATCAAGAATAACTTGACATCGACATATTTAGACTTATTACGATATTGATTGTACTAAAAATATTCTGTAGTGTTTCCTTTGTACTATTTATACTTGGTTTAATTTAATTCGGTTACTTATTAACTCTGAAGAAGTGGTTTACATTGAGTCACGAAACGTCAGAAATACAAATTTTCTACCCATCAAGGTATAACGGATAATAAATTTATTAGTGACCGATTATGTCGTGCCGAGAAAATAAGAAGGACTCTCAATAAGAATTGACTTTTTATGTTTTTCTTATTTTGTTTACGATATGATCATTGTCAACTAAGTGTGCCAAGAATGGAGCTATGTATTGTTTTCCAAACCTATCTGAGAAATGTTCACTTATTTGTTGGTTAAGTTGCCTATTGTGTTGTATATAAACACCACAGTGACGAACTCAAGTAATTTATCTTTTGTTTGAGTAAGCATCACTAATCGACCAGAAAAGATTTGCTACGTTAAATGTCATTTTAACTTTCCTAGCTAATCTATTCTGTCTTACTAACAGAGCACTAAAATTCTACTCAGATTATGCCATAAGAAAGAGATTTTATTATTTAATAACATGGTGATGGATTTTGGCTACCTTCAATGAACCACATGTATTCATGGAAAAAGAATATTCGAGATATTTTTAAAACTACAATTCAACAAGGATGTAGCTAGTGTTGTCGTTTATGGTAGATTAACGAGGGCAATTAAAAAGAAAATTTTATTCGTAGTTAATCTTACATCTGAATTTTCTAATCGACTTGTTATATGTACTCAAACAAAGGATAAATTACTGGAGTTTGTCTCCGATGTTTATCTACACATTCAGTTGCTTCTGTAGAGATAACTTTATGTTGGATTTACTACCAGAAAGTTCAACCAATAAATGAATGAACATCTCCCAGTTTGAATTCAGTTTGGGATTACTTGGATTATCCCGTATATATTTCGACTAAAATTTGATCATCTTGGGTTGGCATATGAGCTTCCTGTGCAGATGACCTCGATATATGGCCATTATGACACAAGTTAACATGGATGCACATATATCCAACTGACGAGTTTCAGACAGGGAAAAAATGCGCTTCCTGGATTTCATTGTTAGCCATCATATCTTTCAGTTCGGTCTTCATCATCACCTGTATAACTGATCCTGTTGTCTTACCTTTTAAATGCTTTCTTCACTAGTAAATGTCAACATATTAGACATAACCTATGAAACAGTTTAATGTTACTTCTGTTTAAGTAGTACTGTTTTTTTTACAAAAATGTATTGATATCAGTTGTGACATTTCACAATTACATGAACTACGATTAGTCAAAACAGCTCAGCTACATTTATCCTTTGTTTTTCTACAAGTCTTAAGATTCAATATTTATTGCACGCTACTTTTCCCACAAATTCATTTATTACTTTTTTGGATCATATTCTTTATGTTCTTTCTCAGTATCGTTTTTGATATGATCGATGAATTAAAATATTTCCTCTCTCTACGGTACAGCTACGCTAATACGATAATTTAATTTATTTTATTTATTTAAATACATAAACATTAGTACAAAGTGGCACCAAATATATATGCGCCGCACTTCGTCATTGGTGTTATGTGAGGTCTAGAGTACTGTCCGGACGCCCAAATTGAAACAGGTGGTTTTCTTGGGTGACCACACCCCGATCCTTTTACCTAGAGGTCCAATCCACAAGACAGTGTAGCAACATCAGGAGATAAAGTCCTTGGCATCCAGTAACCGGTGTTCAGACTAATCTAGGTGATCGAGTTTATAATACCTCTAGATTGGATACTCAAACGATACACAATAAAGAGACTAGATAACGTTAGATCAGATATACGATTCACAACCGAAAATAGAGAACCAGAATAACACTAGACAATACTTGATTCCATACAATTATAAGCAGCCACTTTTAATGAGTCCGAAATAGAAATCAATGAAAAGATAGCAAATCACATATTTAATAGTCAGTAAGTTGAGTGCGCTTATTTGTTTAGATTCAGCGACCAACTAAATTTATTTTCAATACTATACATTATACTTTTTTGGTCATTTCATTTCACTGTATTAGTGTGGTATAACAAACGCATGAGTTGATACAAATTTATGTTCGACTAAGAAGCTTAAATTTGGCAGTCAATATCTATTTCACGCTCCCTGATTTTCATTGATTTCTTCAGTTAATGATGTGACTTAACTTTAAATTTCACTATCGTCATGTTAATAATTTGAATGAAATGGTGACTCAATGTCTAAGTCATTTAAATTCTAACCTACTAACTCCAAAGCTTCAAACTTTGGTTCACTTACCGTATGGTCTGAACAGTTACACGTAATTGTTACCAGTCTTTGTACCAGAAATGTAGTATGGACTAAAACCAAGTACATAAACTTGTATCTGACATATGAATTGGTTAATACAAGAAAAATAAATTTTATTTACTAATTCATGTTTTTTTTTAAAAAAATGTTTATATATAAGCCATTGTTCTATTGTTCACTTTTCAGTCCCAGATAGAATTAATAAAATCTTCATTAATGCGATTAAAACTAATCAATATACCTGTATGAAATCACCTACGATTACCATGGAATCTACGGTTTGTACCAAAAGTAACGCCTCAATCACCACTACCACTACTACTACTAGTAATAGTGCCCATTCCAATTCACAAACAAATAACAACATTACCACATTTAACTCGTCAAACTAATCACATGTGTTTTTGATTTGAAATGTATGGGGGATAAAAGACAATTCTCTCAATCCTTTTCTTCCCTAAATATTCTACCGCCTTCAACACAGCCTTATCCCGCTGATGACGATGATGATGATCAGTTAACTATTATATGTTTTTCTGTGTGTAAATTATTATAGACTTCATTGATTTCTATTTTCCTACTATATTATTATTTCTCCAATTCCGTGTGTTCGGGTTTGTGTTTAGTTTGTACTTTTCTACTACTATTTCCGTCAAATTCTTCTATATATCCATCCACTCACTGTACTACTACTACTTGCTGTGAAAGGAATTATCAAATATGATTCTTATTTTCTGATCTTAACATCCAATCCTATAATGTAAGAATGTCAAAATCAATTAACTTCACTGTTAACAAGTTTTTTTGAATTCAACTGTAAGCGTTGAAGACGACAACTCTTCCAAACGTCTTCTGTGTTACTGTATCATCGTAGGTTTGTGTGTCTCCGTGTTTGTGTATGTATGTGCTATTGGCTTTCTTGTTTGATTAATATACAATTCATATTCTAATTAAATTTACCAATCATACCAACTTCTTCCTCCTTCATATTACTACATTCTGTGATCAAAATGAAAAACTCGAAATGATTATCTTATACTGATGAACTCGTTTATTATATGAAGCGAAAACAAAACGACATATTATCTCTATTATTAGTGGGAATAAATTGAACCCCAACCTCATGTCACGCACACTCACTTTTATTTCCTAGGTGTGAAATTATCATTCACTATTATCTTATTCTTTAATTCACTTATATGTATACTTGGTTTATTTGGTTTTCACTTTATAATCTTTTTTTTACTCTTGCTTGTTTGTGTTGATTTCGTTGAAAAATTGTCCATTGAAATTATTTTTTATCAAGGTGTTCTTACTATTTGACCATTCATGTGTCAAGTATTTTGTATAATTCTAATAAAATATATATGCGCTGCACTTCGTTCCGTCATTGGATTTGTGCGAAGTCTGGAGTATATGTATATATGATAATGATTTATTCATGAGTCAACATTACTTGAAGTACGCTTAAGAAATAGAAAGGACTGATCAAAAATGTTTCTTTTTACATAAAACTCTTTGGGAGTATACATTCATTGTTCTGTCTGGAATCGAACTCAGAACCCATGGGTCTTTCAGTTATTTCATTATAAGCTATCGTGAATTGGAATTCAATGGTCTGTTGCTCCTAATTTCAATCAGTTTGTGCATATTTTGCTACTACCTGTTAAACGCTCTTTAACATAAAAGAAAGGATTAAGTGAATATTTAAGATGAGACAAACTAATAATTATTTCGGAATGATAACTGTTTTTTATCTTGTCAAAACTACCCGATGTATGAAGATCTATTAACTATGGTTGTAAGTACGATAAGAAACAAGAGTAACTTGAAGACAAACTTTACACATTAATGATACTATATCGTGTAATTGAAGTCGTTGGCAGAGAATAAATTGCTACTTTGATTTATTACGGAAACTGAACTAGAGCAAACGACTAGTTTTTAGTTTACTTCTGGAACTGCATAGGTCACTGATGAACTGTCAAAATAAGATGGATGAAGTTCGGATAGTTTTTAACTATTTATTTGTTCAACTAGGCAAAATACTAACACCAGTGTTTCTGCTACAGTCGAGCAAAACACGTACTTCTGCTTGCCTCACTGCGTAATAGGTGAACAGAGTTGAGTAGTTATTGGTTGGTTTATTAACTTGTAGGTACACTAATTTGGCTACATATTTTGCTTATATATGGCTAGTAGTTCAGTTCTCCGAGATCTATCTGGGTTGGGATTTATCATTTCGAATTTCCGAGCGTAAACCACTGTATTACTATTGATAAGTGATTTAGAAAAATTCGCTAATTGAGAAAAACAAATCAGTGTAGAATGGCATATCTCTAGACCAACTGATATCAGTTGAATAAAAGATCGTTTCCGTTACAAACTTCATTTGTCACTGCAAAGTTCATTAGATATTGTGTTCCGAAACCTGACAAAGAACGAATATTTAACCGGTATTTGAAACCAAACTAGTTATGAGTTGGATCCTAAGTTTCTAAATTCCTTTTATTCTTTATATCCGACTTAGTTCTATATTCTTGGAACGTATATTCAATGGCTAAACTTTTCTATGAGCGTTAATACTGTTACTATCTCTTCTACGGCGGCATCTGTCCTAATAATTTCATGTCTCTACGCTAAAGGGGTTTGTCCACTTGAACTGATGTACACATGTTCTACTTTTCGTTTGACTATTGGATGATCATTTCAGCATATATATATATATATACGCACGAACAATTGCAGGTGAAGAAAACCAGTGTAGCAGCAACCTCTGTAGCAGTAAACCTCAACATACACACGGGAAAACCAAGATCCTCAAATACAACACGGAGAGCACCAGCCGAATTACACTTGATAGACAAAATCTGGAAGAGGTAGAAATTTTCACGTACCTAGGCAGCATCATCGATGATTAAGGAGTGTCTGATGCAGATGGAAAAGTGTTATAACCCAGTGAAGATTAAATTACAGGTAACTCCCGAGGCCTGTTAATGGACTAATATTCTATAAATATTCTTATTGTAAAACTATTGAATAATTAGATTATGTATATTTATATTCCTCTTATTATAAGCTTTATTTTGACCTATAATTTATTATTGTACGATTTACGGTTCTTAAGCTATGCTCAGTCTATTAATTACTGTCCCCCTCGTTCACAGCTACTTTTTGGCTTATTTGTGTACACATGTTATTTTCTATTTTATGGTGCGTTGTGGTCTGTCTGATTGATACATAAACCGAGTATGTCTGAAATAAACTATCTGATCTGATTCGATTCGATTCATATTACAGTAGCTAGTACTGTGTTCTGGACTCAAGTGGAAGGGCTAGAAGGACATAGGACCAATCAGGACGCTAAACTGCTCATACTGGTTGAACCTCATTGGTTTGGCATAGTGCGAAATCGTATAAGTCGTATTCTGACTGGTCGATAAGTCGCGTGATAGAAAGCCAGACATCAAGTTCATAACAAAAAGCAAGGACCGCGTTCCTGCAGTTGAAGAACATATGGCGCTCAAAACTACTGTCACGTAGTATCGAAATGAGAATCTTCAATACGAACGTCAAGACAGGTCTATTCTATGGAGCTGAAATTTGGAGAACTACTACCACCATCATCAAGAAGGTAATAGTATTTATAAACAATTGTCCGTTGACCGGATAGAAAAAATGTTAACAGCTTAAAACGAAATTATTCATTTGACTAAACTGAGAATAACAAATTTGGCAGAATGAAATGAAATGAAAATCTTTGATTACCCATAAAAGTTTATTAGTAAGTATGATAAAAATCGAGTAAAGGAAATGGAATATGCTAAGATATAAAATAACTCAGTATTTTTCTAGCTTAACATTAAAGTTGGTGAAACAGCCAACATGAGTCATTTCAGACTAAATACCGAATTGAGAAGGACGTATTCACCTGCTTAACTAGTTTCATTCTATGAAACAAGTTTTTCATAGAAACAAATAAAAGTAGACAAATTTCCACTGTGTTCAATGTTAGATCACTTACACTATAAGAGCAAAACGGGTTCTGTTCTTGGAGCCCATCCAACGTATTTTCAACAGTGTCATTACCCGTCATCTACTTCATAGTGAACACAATGTTGATATTTTAAAATCATTGAAAACAATTAATACCCAAATAACTGACTACATTAACCTGAGGCTACATCAACTAAAAAGTTGAAACCATAACTTTGTATTACCATAGTAACTTCTAATTTTCATCATTCAGTTACGTAATATTTTCTTGTTTATCCTCAATAACAAATCCCTTCCTTTTATTCTTATATCATTCTTTATATTTACTTATCTTTACTAATTTATCAAGAGTTCATGTTGTTATTACGTAACTTTAAAATCAATTTTTATTTTTTACAAGTGTGTCTCCGTGTATTTAAAAAAAATTTCTCTTCTAGAATTTCCATATACAGTAGAATGTGAATATTCATTCAATTTACCATTTAATTATTCTTCCGTCTTAGCATTTATTTCCAGTGAACTTCTTCATATATTTTTTAACAAGTACCTGTTAAGTTCATTAGGTGAATTGTGGCTATTGAACTCGTGTTTTGTCCTATTTTAAACTCGTCAACATTAGAATGTAAATAAACTAAGGTGTTGATTTTCGCATTGAATAAACAATGAGAGAATTCAAACCCATATTATGAGTGATATTGATGATAGAATAGTTTTCTTTCCTGCTATTCTTGCATAATCCTAATTGTATACTATTTTTCCTAATGTATTAATCCTTGTCATACTTCTCTCCATTAATAAATTACAAGTTAATTAATTAAAATTTGTTACTTAACTTTATATTGAAATCATCCTTGTTACATACCTATTGGGATCGATAAATTGTGTTGCATTGTCGTTTTACATTTTACGAATGCATAACATACGACCATTCACCTGACCTAATGTTTTGATTCAGGATTAAGAAACGTGGGATTTCGCGTTTCATATTAACCGCATCAATGAATAGATTGGTGAAACTAACGAATCTCATTGTTTATAGAATGGGTAAGAATACAAAAGTAACGTAACATTGTCTCTACCGAAGGTTATTGGCGAGTTGTGTCTTCATTGGATTGATCGCGTTACAGCCTCTTACTAGGACTTCGAAAAATAACTTATTAACAATTACTTGGCGTTCTTCTGTATAATCGGTAAAATGACCTCTTATCTAGTAGTCAATTATTGATATTGACAGTAATAAGTCATCTAGTACGTTTGCTTTAATTTTGAAGTACGAGCTGTATTTATTTAAAAAACTAATTGATGATCTTAATATCATCTGCCGAATTAGTTCTACAAAATTCGTCTGAGAACTCTCAAAAACGTGACACATCCAAATCTTTTGACAAAAGACTAATGAAATACCTGGTGAAAGACTGAATTTATGGAGAATTCCGTGAATCTCTGGAGTAGAACACACACACTCTCTCGGATTTAAATTTGATATCCCGAATAAATTTGTCAGCAAGGTTGATATACTAACGTAATTCGAAAGTCTGTACTAACAAATAACCGACTTGAAACCTATGAATGCAGGCAGAATAGGCTGGTTTATATTCAAACTGGTTAAATCAATGTTGTATTTCGGTAACTTACATTCAAAAATATTAACCAAGGAACATGCGCCAGCATTGAAAAATTTGCAAAAGAATAATAAGACAAATAAAGATTTCGCTGTTGTAATAATGAATCAGAAAGATTATGTGTATAAAATATTCCACATTCTCAATGGTACTTCAGGATTCTAAGTTCATAAATCTATGAAAAATAGCAATCAGAAGCAGTGTTCATAAAAGTTTTAAGTAGCAATCTGACAGCAAAACGGTAAGTACTGCTCTTAATGCATGATCCCCCTAAAATCCACAAATCCTGTATCCCATTAAGATCTATAATGTCTAAGGTGAACTCATCATATCATAAGTTGGTTTGATGGTTAGTTAAATTATGAAAACCAGTTCGTAGAAAAATTGTTTCACAGTTTAAAAGATGTTTTAGTATTCTAGAGAAATGGATCATTTGAGTACATATTAGATAAATTCTTTTAATTGAAATTATGAACCGATTAATGTTGGACCATTACTGAAAATCTGGAAGGATTGAATGGCTGTTTCGTCGTAGCATGTGACTCTTCAGCAGTGCATATCCACGACCCTGCACGTGTGACTCAAACCCATGACCTTCGGTCTCGCTTGAACTCTTAATCTCTACTAGACAACTGAGCTGCGATCCAACTATATTAATGTCTAACTTCAACCAGTTCACGATATTGAATGACCATCTTCCATTGTCGTTGTTGAGAAAATGCCTCAAACCTGACACAGATTAACTCTACTGGTCATGGCTTCTCACTAGAACTCCGGGAATTCCCTCTCAAATCTAGTCATTAGATAGCACATGATAACAACAATCTTAACAACCCTATATTGTTGATATCTATTAATTTTTGCTAATTATTCGTGAACGTAACGTTAGAGGAGACTATTAATATAATTTT